TATATCTTATTGGATTCTTCTGAGCCCAATATGGCAAAATATTAAGTCGAGACTTCAATATTGGGCGAGACCGAAGGTCGAGCCTAATATTGAAGTCGAGACTTAATATTTTGCCATATTGGGCGAAGATGAATCCAATAGGAGTTTTATTATATCGAACAAAACAATTCTATAACAAAAATTGTCAATAAGCGATAAAGTAAATACAGCGAGACTAATAAAGCGACAACATTACTACATATATCGGCGGCGAATTTGCTTAAATAACTAAAAAAAAGTTAATAAACCTGTTTTTACAAATATGTGTGCATAAATAAACTCAATTCCATGTATGTTTAAAGGAAATTTGACCTAATTTTAATGAAAAAAATAATATTACTAACTTCTAGGCTGTTGCAAACAAATAAATTTCGCGAAGACAAGTTTTCCCGCGCTTTTATAATTTTAAACAAAACTGGTAGAAAAAACTGTATTAATGTCCAAAATTCTTTTCAATATTCTGCCATATCGTTTGTCGTGTGTTTGAAATTGACAAAACATCTGAAAAGGGTTGAAAAACCATGAAAAAAGCCACAATTCGCAACTGCCCAATAGGTTCCTGTCCAATATGGTAAAATATCGGATCGGCACGTGACCCTTTCAACGATTACTGATTGGTTAAATGCGCGTGAGTGTATAATAATAGCTCATATCCTGCCAGTAGAGAAAAACAAAATGGCGGCTCAAACTGAATTTCCGGCGTTTGCGAACGAGAAAACGGCAAGTTTTTCGCTTTTTATAGCCTTTACAGGATAAAAAACACAATGAAAAAACTTCCACAAATTGTTTACAGGTTAGCAAATGAATTTTTAAAATTTAAAATGGTTAAAAATATATATTTTGGTAAAAATAATCGGCCGAAAGAGCGAAGATTAAAACATAAACAAAATAGAAAAATATTGAAAATATCCGAAAAGCAAAGTCTGTGAATTCAGATCTTGTGTATATAATAAAACAGTTATTCCACTCACTCTCGTTGAATATAAGCGATATGCGGCGCTACGCGCCTCATCGGCTATCAGCTCATATTCGACTCGAGTTCGTAGAATAACTGTCAATTAGTTTCGTTTTGGTTTCCTCCTGTAGCAACACTGGATCAATAAGTGAGGGAGAACAGTTTAGAACTGATATAGCTATCCAGTATAAATAAAGTTTGCTTATAGGTTACTTAGGTTTCCTTCTGCATGAAGTAACAATTCACCGATAAAGGTGGGTCTTTAATGGACCTCAAGGGATACCAGTTTAGAAGTTATAGAGCTATAAATTTACCGTTTTGTCATTCTTTGGATCAATTTCTTCTTCAACGACATTAAACTTCACCTGGTGAAACAACAAAAACAGGAAGAGAAGCCATGAACATCTGTTCAAAAACTGTCATAAAATCAGCCGAGGGTCTTTTTGGAAATTTAGGAACAATAAGTGGGCTTCAATACTGCAGTCGTCAGTGCAAGCGCCCCTATGAGAGGGTGGGATCGATTCTCTTGTTGCCTATTCATGTGAAAAGAGTCAGTAAACGCTCTGCCGAAAGTCATAGGTTTTCTCCGGTGTCAAGCGAAATTCCTGACCTCTGCGAAATACCTGACCAAGCCATAACGGGTCAGAAATTTCGCGCGTGCAGGCGCGAAATACACGACGCTTGCTAAATTCTATGTCGGCCAAAACGATGTTTTAGAGTTTAGATAAAATAATCATGATATGTTAATTGCTAATACTTCGTTAAATATTTCAAATCGACATCGCTAAGTTTCAATCATAAACACTTTAAATTTCCGAAAGCGAATTGTGTGGTCGTGACCGCGAAATACACGACGTTTGCTAAATAGAATCGGTCGAAACGATTTTTAAGTCCATATGCGATGTTACCACAAATGTTTCTAATATAGACAACGCCAAATCTAAACGGCCAACTCGGCAACTCACGAACTCATTGTTGCTGTTTGCTCAGTACTGAAATCGTGACAATTGAGAAGGTCAAACGCGAAAAAATTTTTGGTGCTTATAGTAATGCTTTATAAATACACATGTTGTCTGTTGAGTTGCGAAATTTATGAGCCAAAGTTATTCATGCACATCGTCTGCGCATGGGCAGTTCTACAATAGTCAGATATTTCGCAAGTCAGGAATTTCGCGTCACACCGGGTGCTCCGGTTTCTTCTGACAGGGAAAGTTGACAGGGTGGATTACACAGTTGTAAGAAAGTATAATTGTTGTAAACAGTCCATGGCCCGGTTTTGAAGTGTTTTGCATCTCGTTTTGCTGTATAGAAATCATAATCTTAAACAATACTGATCTAATTTGAATGGAAAATCTCACCTCACCTATGTCAAAAAGGCGATTTGATATAGGCTTAGCAGTGGAAATGGGAAGATATGGCAATTAGACAGGTTTAAATCGAGGACGTGGACGTCAAAGACGACGTGAAAATGGCGTGTTGTGTCCATGTATGGATATGCCACGCCATATTCGTCTTCGACGTCCGCGTCCTTGATCTAATGATCTGTCTATTATTTTAACAAAGCAGTACCTTTGATTCGAGTTTATTTACCAGCTCAGCTAAACGGTCAACTTGTGAAGAAAGACGACAAACGGAGTTACCTGATGGATACAATTAGCCAATTGTTACGAACATGTTCCAAAACAAATATAGAGCGTTTGCACTCATTCAATTTCCCCAGGGACCAACTCAACGGAAGCCATGGCGGCCATGTTGGTGTTCCAGACAAAAGAGTCCAATTAAAATTCTTTTGAATTGGAACACCAACATGGCGGTTGTGACGTCATGTGCAAACGCTCTGTAGCATCTTTCTCTCCAATATTATAGTAGCAGGGTTTGTATATGTCAGAAAGAGAAAGAGTAAAATTCAAGGACTTTGTACGTTGGGTTCCTTTCGTTTCGTGCAGTGTGGGATAATTCAATAATACAGCAGCTTATTTGACTTATCAAAGTTTGCCAAAATATTATGTCGGAAGAAGATCAAGATACTGGGAGTATCCTTCGATCCAAGTACCCGGTTATCGATTTTTCAGATTTGGCAAATATGGACCTTACAATTAAAATCTCCATGCTCATGCAAATTAGTCTATACCAAAAATTTCATAATATTTGGACATTCAGGGGGCAACATTTTTTGTGCACCATCATGTGTGTATCTATAGGCTTGAACTACGTCATGTACCTTCATTGCTCATCTGTTGTTGATAATTTTGAATTTTCTTCTTAGTAATTTTTGTTTTCGTTCCGCTACTTTTCTGTTCCACGTATGGATTCCCGTTTCTGGAGTTAAATGATGAACATTAGACAGTGACTTGTAAAACTCCAATTGAACTAGTATGACTGTCCAATTGAAAAGAAATTCATTCATGTACCGTTTGCTCTGTTCATCTTCCTCAATCTTCTCCAAAGCTGTGTCAACATGATACTGAAGTGAACCCAACTGGTTTGTAACCTAAAGTACAAAATTTTTAATGGTACCATATATTTAAGCAGTTGTCCACCCTTTAGTGAAGGACTCTCAAAGACATTTTTTCATAAATTCAAGGACCTCAAATTCAAGAATTCAAATTATAAAGACTTTCCAGATCTGGATTTTTTTTTAAATTCAAGGACTTTCAAGAACATTTTCCCGTGAATTCAAGGACTATTCAAACCTATAAAGATTTTCCAGATCTGGATTTTTTTTTAAATTCAAGGACTTTCAAGGACATTTTTCCGTGAATTCAAGAACCTATTCAAACCTATACATTCCAGATCTTAACATATTTTTTTAATTCAATTAGGACTTTCAAGGACATTTTTCCGTGAATTCAATGACCTATTCAAACCTATAAAGATCTGTCTGTCATCCTGCCTGTCTGCCTATCTGTATCTTTGTCCCTCTGACTGTGTCAGCCAAATATTAGCTTGTCTGTCTGTCTGTCTGTATCTGTGTTCCTATATGACTCCTCTCTATATGCCTGTCAACATATCTGTCTGTTTGTCTATTGTTAGTCTGTCTGTCACAATTATACATACAGTTATTGAGTACCTCTTGCATTAAAAACCTTCTTGTAAACTTTCCAAAGAAGCTTGAATCAGGATAATTCTGACATAAAGATGAGAAGAAGATAATTCAGCAGTACTTTCACTATGAGAATACACCACTAGTCATTCCTCCCTCCTCAATAACTGGAGAACAACTGGCACTAGCAGCTGTATAAGAAACTAGTACATATATTATATATAACTTGTCATGCAAGTATAAGTAATATTAGCAAGTTAGATCTCTCCTTCCTAGTTGCAAGGAATTAGCCATTTCTCAGTATTATACACTTTTTCCAATTAAAGTACCTTTGATGTCTCTAATAGAGCATTATGAACAGCAGAGTTCATGTTTTCTAGACCAGAGAAGATAGATGAAAATGGTCCCAAATGTTCTTGAAAGTAATCTATGAACATCATAAAAAATAGGTATTATTGTTCTGCGGGGAAAATGATCATCAGGGTTGGATCTACGTTGATATGATGGGGGGAAGGGGAGGGGTGTACTAGTAGTCATGGTGTGAACATTGATTCAAAAAGGGTGCATATAATTCATCATCAAATAGGGATATATCTAGCTTTGTAATTTCAATTTATACAATTACTTCCTTAATTAACCCTGAAGATGTCTTGAGTACAAGATGAAATGTTAGTTCTTACACAAATACAAATCTATAAAATTTCTTGTTATAGGTATTATATTCTTAGACATTAGGGAAATTTATACGGAACAAAATAAGACGCGACTTACATAAGACGCGACTTAAGTAAGACGCAAGTTTGTCGTATAAAAGGTAAAAAATTCTTATGTAAGACGCGTCTTGGATAAGACGCGTCTTACATAAGAACAGGTCTTTTAGCTGTTCTTATTTAAGTCGCATCTTAAATAAGAAATTTTGGACAAAAAATCTAACTACACATGCCAGAAACTTGAAACAACGTAAATTTAATGCCTTGCATATTAAAAAAAAACAAAAAACAAAACAACATTATAGCTATAGCAAATAAATAAGACCAAAGCCGTAGAGAACCATTTATGCGATAACTCCTCTTATTTAAGTCGCGTCTTATGTAAGTTGCGACTTATTTTGTCACGTATAAATGGCCCTATTATGCTGGGCATTGACCTTTATCATGATTACAATTCTCGCCTCATTCATCCCTTCACAGTTTATATCTATAGTGATCCCTTGCAACTACCACAGAGGAGTACAGCAATATTCTAATGTTCAAACAGGCCATGGCTACGTCCAAGGGCAAACTTAGAGTGATAGGTTGGAGTCTTGGAGAATAAATTCTTTGATTGGTTGAAGTAATTGCTTTTGGTTAAGACAAACAAAAGAGAAGGAAATTGGTACTCTCCCTGCAATGCCAGGGCTATAGGGGGGTATACCTCCTGTATTCATAAGTAATTTGAATTTATTGTATGGTACTACATTATAAACATACCACAAAGTTCCTGTGTGTCAATATTGCTGGAATGAAGAGAAAGTGTAAACTGCTTAGTTTTTGGCAGTTAAACATTTGTCACTTGGTTAAAGAGTCCTGGTCCACCACAGTGCAATGCGAGATTTTGTTTATGTTTTTCCATTACTTTTCTCAATTGTTGCTGCCATTTTCGAGGCCACAAAAATGGCTGCCTCTGGCCCACAACGTAACAGAAACGTATTAAACAAACGCACACATTGCATTGTGGTTGACCAGGACTCTTTAAAAATGTTAATCAGCAAACCGGAACTCAATAATTATTCTTACGCAGTATTGTGAGTATCAATGTCATTGAAAAGTTTCTCCAGATCTGGTTCAGATAAAATATTATCACTGAAAAATGTTTTAAACTCTGCCATTGACAAGGCACCATCATCTAAACAACATGATTATAAATTTATAATTATGTGCGAGATATATACCAGATTCACATTTGTTAAAGACACTAACCTGGGTTTGTGCCAGGTTAAATCTAAGCTGGTTTGGGTTTTTGGAAAGCATTGTGTAACACTACATAATAATCCACCTTTGTGAATTTGACACCAGTTAGTGTAAACAATGTTCCAGGGTAGGGTGCCACAGAATAAAGACTATACAGATGCCTGATTTCTTGTTTTTTCCTATGATTTTGGTGTAACCGTAATTCATCATCAAAATGCTGACAAATCATGGCGTGGCAGCGGTACGCTTTTTTAACCAAGTCGACCTTCTGTGTGTCTTTTATATTCTGTGATGCTGGTAGGGTTCAAACTAATCACCCAGATTCCACCATTTCGTGATTTTTTCAAGCTTTCCAAAATTGTCCATTGATTGGTTAATTAAACCAGCAGATTAATTTAGTATTTATAAATTTAATATAAATATTAAGCTTCATTTTATTGATTGGGAGGGTCACAGAATAAAGACAAACAGAAGGTTGACTCAGCAAAAAAGGCATAAAGTCCACCTTATCACAACCCGCACACCCGATTACCTATATATACATTAGGGATGGGCGATACCAGCTTTTTCATTCGATACTATATTTCCTCGATATTTGCCGGGTTTTTTCGATATCGATACCGATATCGATATTTTCCCAACTCGAAGAACCATAACAACAAAAAGACTATTTTTAATCATTAACAACGGCAACAACGCTAACAATATAAACATTGAATAATATATGTCAGTGATTGCAACCAACATAACCAGAAACTCCCATCCTGCCCGTGGACCATTATAGCACCATAGAAAATGAACTATTTTTCTAGTATTTACGCCTATTTAGGCTTTTTGTTGGCTTTTTGGTATCATTTTCATGATGATGCCACTGATCAAAATGAAAAAATAGCGCAGGCGCAGAAATATCGAAACATCGATATTTCTTGCCAGTATCGATACTTTTCTTCAAAACCCTGGTATCGATAGTATCGAGTATTTGGTATCGATATCGGCCCATCCCTAATATACATGAACTTACGGTTACAGCTTAACAGCTGGCCTCTGTAGCTCAGTTGGTTAGAGCCATAGATATGGTTAGAGCACTGCACCGGAATCGCAGGGCCATAGGTTCAATTCCTACCAGAGGACCTTGTTCTGCATTTTTCGCAGTCGTTCCTGGTTAGGTCTTAAAATGTATATATTCTCACTTGGATCCCAAACCCTAACATTCTAATATTAATTCAACCAAGTGAAGTGCAAGAATCTAAGTCATGTATAAATTTATGCTTTTTAAATAATTTTGTTAACATATATTAGCCCTTCCAATCTAATCTGAGATCTGTTTATGATCTGAAGTGTGCTTTTGCTAAATCGATCGTTATACTTCTAGAGAAGCACTTTTAGTTTACATAAACTATTACAGCTGCTCAAATCAACTGAATTATTAAACACTTCTATCAATACATTTGATTCACTTGAAACAAATAATTGTGAAACAATGCCTACATTTTAAAGCTTTAAACTTAACAAAACCACCTAAATTAATAACTTTATACATACCGTTCTTGTCAGCCCTTCGGAAAACCTAGAATTTAAAACACATACAAAAACAAGTTAGCCTTTTGCAATATTTAAATGGCCGGCTGTATTTATTAAACTCGTCGCATAAACAAATGAGCCGAGATTTGAACACAAAATTAAACGCATACATCTTTAAAGATTGCTAAACCATCTTTATTTTGCACTTCTTCCATATCAGGAACTTTTTCGTCCATGTTTTACGGATGATTTTGCTTCAAGAAACAACAAATAAAATTTGTAACGTTAAAAAATATTCTATTTTTCTAACGATTCCATTCACGTTAACGTTTCCGTACCCCCGGATTTAATGAATGCTGATCGCGTATCCAGGAGGGGAAATCAGAAAAATATTCATTATACTCAACGAATCAACCTTCTCCCCCTGAACTAAAGGTTATTAATCTTATATACAGGGGGAGTCGACCATGTCTATGACCATGTTCTCAACCTAGTGCAGGTTCAGAAAGCAGTAAATTGGTGTTCTTTTATATTTTCATCCTTGTTTCACAAACCTGAGCCCAAATGAACACTCCTACAGTAAAGGTCATCGACAAGCGATCAGTTCACCAAATATGTTCAGGCCAAGTTGTTGTTACCTTAGCAACAGCTGTAAAAGAACTAGTCGAAAATAGTTTAGACGCTGGCACAACCAACATTGAAGTCCGCCTCAGGAACTGGGGTGCTGATTCATTAGAAGTGGTCGACAATGGTTTTGGGGTTTTGCCAGAAAACTTTGCAGCACTGACATTAAAACACCATACATCAAAGCTGAATGTGTTTGCAGATCTGGTTGGTGTTGAGACATTTGGGTTTCGTGGTGAAGCGCTTAGCTCGTTATGTGCATTAGGGTAAGATATAATAGGGCAAGTAGATGGTAGCCTGTGTATAGCCAAAGTAGGTGGTTGTATCAGAAGTAATCGTATGATAAAGTAATCTGGTTGACGAACAAGCTTTCATTGGTAGGGATGCAACTACCTGAAAAATATAAGGAGAATTTCCACGTTTCGAGCAAAGGCCCTTCATCTGAAGTTACAGTAACTCCAGAGACGAAAGGCCTTCGGTCGAAATTCTCCTAATATACTTTTCAGATAGTTGCATATCCCTACCAACAAAAGCTTGTTTATTTGATTGGCACTACCTACACTGGCAAAGACAGTTCAAAATTATAATCTGGTTGATCCCTCACAACATCGGAAGTCTTCTAGTTGATACCTACAGGAACAAGAATAGTAAACTACTGATCTCTCAAATCTATTTTTGCCATCTGATTGTAGACAACTACATGTAAAGAAAGGAGTAATATAGACTTCTCATTCTCACTGGTAACTGCCGGGTGGAAAATCATAGTCGTAAGGGAGACGGGAGGCCCCCCCTCCAATGAAACTGGATGCTCACTTTTCTACCGTGCAACTGAGGGCAAATTATAATCAGACACCTACATATTGCAGGAATCGAACCCTGCATGGTCACAAAGCCATATGATGTAACCAATGTCCCACCAACACACACACCCATCCCACCATCATAACCTAAAACACCCCAAAAAATATGAATGGTCTGTGCCAGCGTAGGTAGTAAAACAAAAACACCAGAGAAATGCAGATGGATCTGGATTCAACTACCTGAAAAATACATTGGCAAAACTTCAACACTTCGAGCGAAGGCCCTCGTCGGGAAGTTAGTATCGGCTGGTTGGCTACTAGCTTCCCAACGAAGGGCCTTCGCTCTAAACGTTGAAGTTTCGCTAATTGTATTCAGGTAGTTGAATCCATCTGCATTTCCCAAGAAAATATGTTGCCAATTTTTCCAATCTAGCAATCTTTCTATAACAACATGCCACAAGTCACAGAGTATTGGAGCAAGAATCGAATACGACCATGATGGCCAGATAACCAAACAACAAGCAACAGCAAGAACCCATGGCACCACAGTAACACTACAGAATCTCTTCTCAACTCTCCCAGTCCGTCATAAGGAGTTTCTACGCAACATAAAACGCGAATACACGAAAATGATGCAGGTTTTGCAAGGGTATTGTGTGATTTCAACTGGTGTAAGGATCAGTTGTTACACTATTGGCGAGAAAGGCAAGAAATCTGTGGCATTGGCAACTCATGGTAATAATGACATGAGAGAGAATATCAGTAATGTGTTTGGTCCAAAACAGGTTAGTTTTCCTGGTTTCCATTTAGTCACAACCAAGTCACATTACACATCCACTCTTATGTTTTGTCTGCTGTATGCAAATCAGTGCTTAACAGCCCCACCCCTCTTATTTTATGTCCAATGAATCTTGGAGTGCTCCGTCTTTCTGTTTCAAAATTTTGTATGGCAAAGCTATATTCTACAACAGCATACTGTGTTTGAGCAACTGGACTCTGTAGCTCAGTTGGTTAGAGCGCTGTACAGGAATCCCAGGGCCACCAAGTCGATTCCTACCATTGCCAGTATAAATCGCGTTATTCCAGCTGGTCATCGATAAACTATTAAAATTTAATCTCAGTTCTTTGCTTTTATTCATCTAGCTGCAAACGCTATTGGAATTCAAACAAATTAACCCAACTGCGGATGATTGTGAAGAACTAGGCTTGGAGTCATCACAACTTGACAGCGATCCTGTATTCTGCTTGACTGGCTTTGTCTCTCGCTGTGATCATGGTACAGGACGAAGTGCAAATGATAGACAGTATATCTACATTAATAAGAGACCATGTGATATGCCAAAACTTACCCGATTGGTCAACGAAGTGTATCACGTGTTTAACAGAAACCAGTACCCATTTTTGGTACTAAATATTGACTTGAGCAAAGGTAAGATTAAGGCTACGTCAGTTATACTGTACATAAACTGCATAGCTTTCCCTAGCGACGTGAAAAAACACTTATCCGTACCTTTTAGGTAGACTATTTTCAGAGGAATTATTGCAACGGAAAGATGGTGTTCAGCTTCTGAAAGTTGTACATTCCGTATCGGATAGGTGCTTTGTCGCGCCGCTACGGAAAGCTATGCAATTCGCACATCACGGAAGAACTTTTCATGTTTTCTCTTTTGCTAGATCTTGTCGATGTGAACGTTACTCCTGACAAACGCCAAGTATTCTTACAACAAGAGAAGCTTCTCTTCGCTACGGTCAAGAGTTCCTTGAAGGCCATGTACGATCCGGGTGCCACAAACTATGAAACTAATCAAAAACCTTTCGCCCAACTTAAACTGCCCGCGTTTACCAAACGAAATAAGGAAGAAAACGCAACGGCGTTTTCAAAGTCTATCAAAGATAGATTATTGTTGGCAGCAAAAGTTTCCAAGAATAAAGAAGCGTCCTCGATATTAAAGTTTACCACAAAAGCTTCAGAGTCTGTCAAGGAGCTGGATAATATTTCAAAAGTCTGCAAGAACGTGGACGCTATAGTTTCTACCTGCTCTACTATCGATTCAGGAACTTCGGCGGCTTCTAAAGATGAGTTGAGTGATATTTCCAAAGTCAACAAAATTGGGGAGGCTGTAAGTCTCGACTCTACTGAGATAAAGGCAGATTCGAAGACTTTGGCTGTTTCTAAAGATGGTTTGGCGTTGGATGACGTGTCGGGTATTGTGAATACACACAAACAGGGTGATTCGTCTACTGCCTCCATCATTGAAACGCATGAGGAAGCCTTCAGCCCGCAGATTGAAAACTCTCCTAGCCCATCTCCTATTGGTAATGGACACTTACCGTTTAATCCAAATGAATACGACCTGAGTTCGACGGAGGTACATGCTCGAGAAGGCAAGGGTGTTAATGTAATCAACTGTGAACCGACCCATAGTCCAAAACAGAACGAACTGTGCTTATCGGAAAGCGTACTAGGGGATCCACCAAGGCATTCAGTTAGCGAAGATACCGAACAATCCCAAGGAAAACTGTGTAATGTGGAAACATTTCGAAACTCTGTTGATAGTGTAACTGAAAATGGAAAATGTACAAACAATCTCATTCGAGATAATGTGGACATAACGAAAAAGCTAGAAAATAGTAAAGAGTTAGGAGAATCAGCAAGAATTGAAAATGGATTTGAGGTTTTGGATGTAGAAAATCCGTATGAAAGTGAAACCGCCTATGAAAGTGTTAACATGAATGGGAAATATTCAAGTGAAACTCCGGAATTGAAACGAAGACGCAGTCCCGAAAGCGACGGTAGTGAAAATCAATTTAATACCAAAAGAATTAAAGTAGATGGAGGTTACGAGAATGAATTAGAAAGAACCTCACGGAAGAGCATTGCAGTGAACTTCGATCTTCAAAAATTACGTGAAAGGTTCACAACAGAACGCGGCAGCAAAGAGCTTGAAGCCGAAGGAAGTTCGGGCTATTCTCGTACATTTCGAGCAACTATAGCACCGGAAAGCAACCAACGAGCCGAAGAGGAACTCGAAAGACATATCACGAAAGAAATGTTCAGCAAAATGGAGATTATCGGACAGTTTAATCAAGGTTTTATTACAACAAAACTTGGAGACGATCTATTTATCATAGACCAACACGCTTCGGACGAGAAGTACAATTTTGAAGACCAACAACGCAACACTGTTCTGAAATCCCAACGACTCATCTGCCCACAGTCGCTCGATCTTACAGCCGTAAATGAAAACATTCTGATGGAAAATTTGGAGGTTTTTCGGAAAAATGGTTTTGATTTTGAAATCGACGAGAAGGCTCCAGTCTCACAAAGGGTTAAGCTGATGTCATTACCTGTGAGTAGAAATTGGAGTTTTGGAAAGTCGGATATAGAGGAATTAATATTTATGTTAAGCGATAGTCCGGGAGTGAATTATAGGCCTTCGAATATACGGAAGATGTTTGCAAGTAGGGCATGCCGAATGTCGGTTATGGTCGGGACAGCGTTAAATGATGGTCAGATGAGAAGAATTGTTGGTCATATGGGCGAGATGGACCATCCTTGGAATTGTCCGCATGGTAGACCCACCATGAGACATTTAATTAATTTGAACATGGTCAGAAAGTAGAAACATGCTTGAAGAAACATGGTCATATGACCATACGGGCGAGATGGACCGTCCTTGGAATTGTCCTCACGGTAGATCTATGATCAGGCATTTAATTAATTTGAACATGATCAGAAAGTAGAAACATGCTACTGTCGGTTATTGTAGGGACAGCATTAAATGATAGTCAGATGAGGATTGTTAGTCTTATGCATGGGTGAAATGGATCATTCTTGGAATTGCCAGCATGGTATAGACCTACGATGAGACATTTAACTAGCTGAACAGGGTCAGAAAGTAGAAACATGTTATACTAACCACGCGCATAGATCATATATTACATACCTAGTAAACATACCTTTATATATGTCAGTATACCATACATTGAGCCCTAAAAGAAACATACAGTTATGATTTATTTTTAAGTCATTGTTTTAGATTAGTAAGATAGACAAATACATTTTATTTAGTAATAACATGATACTTTACCTTGTTTTTGTTCGAGGTCCGACGTTCTCGTAAAAGTGTGAAGATGCAATGAAAACCATATGCCTATTATATTTCCCATGCATATTTCCCATGAAAACGTTTATTGACATATTCGGCTACATAAAACGTCTACCTTTAATGCCATCACTCAGAAGATCCCGGAGCAAATTGGAAATAAGTAGAAACGTCAAAAAGGAGGCAATGAGTAGTATACTAGTATAGTCTACAGTATATGTTTCTTGCATGAATTGAACCCTGCGATTAGCAGAAGTGAAACACACATGCACTAACTATTGGGTCAGTTTTGTTGGTAGTTCTGTCGTATTGTGCTGGTGTTACAGCGGACACTATATAGTTGCAACATATGAATTCCATCTTGCCTCCAAAAAAAGATTTTCCCCACACTCGCAAAAACTTTGTTTTCCATGTGAAAAAAATAAAACCGTATATACAAATTTAAGCACAACTACTACATCTTCAACAAAATATCTGTTTGTAAATATCATAAATCTGACCGAAGTCCAAATCCAGGACCCTTGGGCTCCTCTGTTAAACTTGTCAAACCTTCTTTGGGCTCTGAGGCAAAACGACCGTTTCTGAAACGACAACAATGTAATTTTGTCAAAATTTTGCCTTTAAAATATTTCAAAGAATCTTATGAAGCCATTAATACTTTTCCCCTTGGGTTAAACAAATGTTTTACCTTGGACCAGCCTTGGGAATTTTGCCACTTTTCAAATCATCAATTATTTCTTCTGTGTCTTTCAAGGTAAGATCTTCCTATTTATGCAAGATGAGATACAATTCTATCACTTTAGCATGGTCAGCGACAACGTTTCTAGCTGTGACTATACTGATTTATTTATTTGTTGAACTTTAACTGCATGCAATATATAAAATTTTAAAAAATACGCAGTAACGAAATACGTACAGTACTATATATAGCAACAGGCCCGAGGCCCAAACAAGGCAAGTCCTTCTAAGAGTACATATTACATTTATATAAAAAACCCAAAAAGCAAGGACAAAAAAGAAGAAAAATAAGAAAAAAGCTAGTAACAGCAGTCTGTGATATCCCGATTTTAGCGGAAGGTTATTGTTATTATTATTGTCTTTATTAGGGTCCACTAAAGTATATGTACAAAGTCTAATTATAAAGTCAATTATTCGGAGACCCTAAATGAGCGAGGCGCAAACGGGACTGGAAGAACCATGCAAGGCATCTGCCCAAACTTAGTAAAAATTTACTGTTCTAATTGAAAATCTATACTGTTCTAGTAAACCTCGGAGGCGCATACACCTCATAAAAATCGAGGGTTAGTAAATCCCCCAGTTGCTTCCCACAATGCATTGTATTCCTGGTTATTGGTTAGATTGTTTGTGACATTTTGTGGATATATATAGTACGCTATGCCAAGTGTTAAGTGTCATGGATTTTAAATCTTGCTGTAAAACATTTATTAGATGGTAGGCTACACACAGATGCATACTTACATAATAATCATCTCCAATCTGCATCATAGGTGCATTAACACAAGCTCCGAGACATTCTGCTGATTGTAATGTAAACATTCCATCCTCTGTTGTCTCACCAACATTTATACCTAGGAAAAAAGTTGAAACATAGTACTGTATATGGTATATGTGTGTTCATTTTAAAGGTAAAGTTAGGACCAATTGTCACTTATCCAGTATCGTAACCCACCAAGTTTTTTCTGAAGAAATTCCATGTGTTCCTCAGCACCACACAACATGCATGGTGTTGTTGTACAAAGTTGAATAACATGTTTTCCAACTGGCTTTCTATTATGAATAAAATTGTGAAAAGTCTATTAGGAGTGAAAACCTGCCATACTGTAATAAATGAATGAAACTATCAGGAATGCACAGGTGTCAGTTTCAGTAATTACGACACTGACTAAGGGGCTGTTTATATGGAAGCCAGGCTGGCCCGGTTAGCGAGATTTCCCTGTGTAGTAATGTGTGTTTATATGGACTATCAGTCTGGTCCGGTTGCGGAGATCTTACTTGAAAGAGGCAAGATCTTATTTACCGGGATGAAAATTTCTCCATATAAACACTCACAAGCAGGTTGGCCCAGTTGCAACTGCAAGCTTTTTTTAACATTTCAGAACAATGTCAAAACAACAAAATTGTCAGGCAAGTGGGATGAAATTTTCTCGTATAAACAAAAGAAAAATTCATCCCACTTACTGGGCTCTCTCGCTAAGCAGACCAGCCTAGCTTCCATATAAATAGCCCCTTCGTAAAGTCTACAATACCTGTGAAACATAGTATAGAATGTTGCTACTTCATAAACTCTCATTCTTGGCATTTCTAAATAATCTGCCACATAGTTCATCACAGACAGTGGTACCCAACCTATTAAAAAAGACATGACATAAATCCATTGCATTAAGTTCAAGTAAACACTACAATGCTTCATCTTACCATATTGTCTTTGCGCTAAATCTAACAGTGGTATAACAGCGGCAGCTTTGTGACCCACAGGATAGTTGCCAATGATTGCTTCTGCTCTCTAATAGTACCAAACACAAATGTTAAGTTAACCCAGTAACACACAACAGTTTTTAGTAAAATTATGTGACATTAGACAGAGTATACCAATAATTATAACCCTACAAGGCACATTGGCATTTGACTGGTGTTTGCATAGTAAAAAAGCTGCAAGAGGTATGGGCAGATGGTTAACCCATTGAACTCTAAAACACTCTAAAATCATCTGATGTAAAAAAAAAAAAGTAAAATCATCTGCAATTCAAACTAAAACAACAACATTGAATATGTTAGCAGACATTGCAAGTTGTTTGGTTTTCATAACCCTTTTGGTGCCCATTTTGGACAGTACAAGTAGAATGAATTGTCAAGTGACAACATTTTAAATTAAATGCAAACCTTTAAATTTTCTTTAGTAAATTCAAAAGGAATATCCTTGTTATTTTCTGGTGTATCTCGATGCTAAAACACAAAAAAATGTTGGGCGAGAGTACATGCAGGTTGGTTTGTTTGATGGTTTCTGTAGGAGTATTCATAAAATATGACATGCCAGTTGTTGTTTTTTTTAAATTGACCACTAGAGATTAAGAGGCTGTTCATATGAGCTAGGCTGGCTAGACAATGTTGAGCGCCAGCCTTACACATTGTTTACAGATATTTCCCAAATTGTGTTCATAATTGAAAACCAGGCTAGACCAGCTTTATACGGTCCCACTTGAGCAATGTCTTGACGTTGCCAGTGTCATATGAAAGCAGCTCATTTGAACAGCCCCAAAGTGCTTATTGAAAATTCTGATACTTTACACTTTACCATAACTGAGTAATGCAAAAATTCCTGATTGGAATGTTTGGAAAGTGCACACTCAAGATTTAAAAAAATTAATAGTAAATATATAGCAAGCATCAAACTTGCCCAATATCTTGGTTGTATCATGATACAAACTTTCCACACTTGCAAATATGTGATGACAAGTTTTGATGACATATGCATTCAGTGATTACTCGGATATAGTAAAATGTAAAATTTCCCAAACTTTCACCTCCAAATTTATCATAACTGTGTAGTAGTATTATCAAGGCAATAAAGGCATATTATGCCTTTATTGCCTTGACAAACTAGACTTTAATTAATGACAGTTTAAAATATTATTTAACACTGTACTATTTTAAAATGTTGTTTTAATACTTGCAGATAATACTTGTTAATCACAACACCTAATATAAAAAACCTACCACAAACAATTGACCAGCAAGCCTAGCAGGACTTCTGTGCAACCATCGCACGTTTTGTGGTGCCTATGAATAACATGCCAAATAAACATAAATTTCACCCAGTTTTTGCACTTAAACTATAAAAAAACGCACTCTATAGTAACTACGCATCCATCTCAATAGAAATTTGCTTACCGATCGAGAAATAAGGGATAAAAAAGAGGTTTTTGACACCAAATTTCTCCAAGACATATTGAATTATTTTGTTGATTTTTATTTTTCAGTGGCTCGTCGTCTCGTATTTTGTCAGTGGTTGCTGGATACTTTATGTAGTCGTTCACAAAAAAACATAAGATTAGGATTAGGGGGTTAGGATTAGATTATTAAAATTGGGTGATGTTAGGATTAAATTAGCATTAGGTTAATAGGATAAGACTAGGTTAGGAACAGATCAGTGGTTAGGTAAGGTTCATAAGGTTAGGCTAGGATTAAGGTAGGTTTTTTTTAGGCTAGGATTAAGGTAGGATTAAGGCTAGGATCGGGTTAGAATTTGTTAGGATCAGAGATTAGGATTAAGCAATCTGCGATATTTTTTACGTCTGAGAGACGGCGGTCAAATATGCGAATCGGAGTCGCATCACGTGCTTGTGTTTACAAATTTTCAGCGCGAAAGAAAGTTGACAACAATAAACAAAGAAAATATTTTAATCGAGTTTTTCCAGCAAAATCATCATGGTTATGTACGAGATTCATTCTCATCCTGTCTTACAAAAGTACAAGGCTCATATCTGCAGTCGAGCGAGTGTTTTTCAACTGTTTATTGCTATTTTTACTGTGCTTTTTCCCTTACTTGTTGCATACGCTTCACAAGGTATTATACTTCACTCTATTTTCACCCTTTTGGCTTGTTTACGTTTTCCTGGAAGGCAAGATATATTTGCTATTGTGATAAGTGTTGTATGATTACAATAGAAATGTAATTTATTGTATAATCATAATTTAATTGCCTAGCAACAAAATGTAAACAAAGCAAAGGGCACTGGTCTGGAAAATACTTTATAGCCTTGGCTATAGAGCCTCGTTTTCGCACTGTAGAGCCCTTTGGCTTTACATTACTACTGATGTCCAGATTACATAAAGGTCTATTAGTGATGGGCGATACCGAGTACTCGGTATTCGATACCAGCGATACCACAAACAGCAGTATCGGTATCGATTACTGACGTGGTATCGTTCGACACTTGCACCCTTTTTTAAACAACATGTTTAATTTCACTTCTTGGTTGAATAAGACTTAATAAACCACTAAAATAACTCTTAATATTCCAAATGTGGTGTGCCAAGTCATGTATAGAGAATATTTATTACGTTTTGGGCTTTTGGTTTACTTATAGCTTTAGTTAGGTTACATACAGTAATGTAAAATGTTTTTCCGCTGACCGGCAGGTATCTAAAGTAGCCGATACTAGCAATTTAAGTACTCACTTCCGGTATCGAAAATTGAAATTTTGTGTTTATTTTGGTATCGAAATAGGTATTGGTATCGGCCGATACCGATCTTAAAAGTATATCGGTGTCGGTATTAAAAATCCTGGTATCGCCCATCACTAAGGTCTATAAAATAAAATGTGCTTACAGAGGCATTCACCCCCTGAAAATATTCAAAATGGGAGATGTTCAGGGGGTGAACGCCTCTCGTTATGCTTGTGTTTGCACTAAGACAGTATATCCATCAGGCAAAAATGCATCTTGAAAATGATCAGTCTCAAGTTTAAATCATCCCAATCCCAATGTTAAACTTATGCTCTTAACATATTTTGATGTAGGATTTTGGTTAAAAGAAGCATCTTATAAAGAACAGCCAGAGGTTCACTTCAAGCATCAGTATGTTGTGTTCTTACAAGGACTAACGTCAGATTCATATGTTGCTTACAGCACCTATCAGAATTTTAATAATCTTGTTAATGATAAACTTCGCATTCCTGTCACAAAGGTACTTTATTGTTGAAGGCCTGCCATTGATTGTAAGTTGTCAAAGAAACTGTGTGGGTGGGTGTAATATAACAGTCCATAATTACTACTGTATGCTTCTGAGAATTTTATTTTTTATTTATGTCATTATAGTCTTATGAAGAAGACACCAACAGAGATGGCAAGAATGATGTCCTACATTTCACATTAGAAATGCCTTTGAGCAGTAAAGAAAGTATTTATACTGCACAGTTGTTGTTAATCTTTGAATATAAACTGCAGGTAGTTTTTATTCCACATTCAGCTTCTTTTGCAGTAAAATACCTTTGACTACAGAATACACCCTTTTGATAAATACTTCTGTGGCCTGAGAGCCTCATTCTCATGAGTCAATACGAATGGTTATTAACTCATGATTTATGAGAATGAGGCTTTCACAGGGTTGTCTGCAGGATTTTCTCACCAGGGGGCAGCAATACCTATATATGCTCTGAAAATACTGTAAGTACCCAAATGTCAATGCATTCAAAATCATATCAGTTAGATGCATGCTTATGGCTGCCCCATACAGAATCATATATTGGCATTACATTCTGATTCACAAGATTATAATCAGCACCATTTGGCTTAGAAATTTGTAATAACATGAAATTAGTAAGTTAAGTTTTCTGGGGGGTGGGGCAGTTGCCCTTGTATAGCCCTGGGCTTACTAACTATGCAGATATTTTATCTTGATGGCTGAGCGCACTTATACACAGGCAAGTTATCAGATTATCTTTTCTTTGTGCAAGTTTGTCCAGGCAAATTTCATGTCCCTAGGATAGATTGGGTCTGCAGAACTAACTGGGGTGTATTGCATATTAATGGTTTAAAGTTCAACCTTGAAAAGTTAACTTTTGTTTATGCATTTAATAAGTCAGAGCAATCATTAAAACATATTTTCTCTCTTCAGAGATTTTCAACATTACTCATGGAAAGTATGGCATACATTCATCACACATCAGGCATCCCTGGAGCGCAGTTTATTACAACCGGAGAACTACGGCTTAAACAGAAATATCTCCTTCGTCACAGTGGCAGAACAACAACCTATAATGTTAGTGCTTTGTTTTCAGATTTTCACAGAAAGAAACAATATGTAATAGTAGGAATTTCCTATATTTTCTTCTGACGAGACTCAATGGCAATGACTAAACTTCAACTTAAATACGACAATATTTTCAGCATCTATTCAACTTTTTTTTTCTTTTATTTATTCTGTTGTAAATTATTTTGCAGCAACCAGTTATTGATAGTACAAGTGTACTTGCCAAGGCATATGACTTTGCGAAGATTTTTGACAACTATTTTAAAAGAAACGGTAATACTGTAAATTCTCTAAATAGCTATCATGAAAGCCCCCTTTTTTAATAAGTCCTTTGTGCCCTCCCCCCCCCCAAAAAAAAAACAATTACTACAAAATACACAGAACCCCTGGACATAAGGTTGTGATTAATAGACTAATACTAATTCATTGGCTTGGAAGTTCACTCAAGTTGACTGTGTTTCATACTGACAGCTTTTTTACTCTATCAATAAATCCCTCTCCAATAAACCTCCTCTCCAATAAAACTCCCCTCCTCTCCAATAAACCTCCCCTCCTCTCCAATAAACCTCCTTTCCAATAAACCCCCGCTCCTCTCCAATCAACCTCCTCTCCAGTAAACCTCCAGGCTCTCCTCGTTTCCAATAAACCTCCTCAACCGTGCCTAAAATCAATAGAGGCTTTACTGTATATGATTTGTTTTTTATTCGCTGTGCAATCAACCTATCCCCTTTGTCATTTTTTTTGCAGTAACAACAGAATATGCAAGTGGGTACCCTGTATGGAAGTCTGGGCGAAATACTGAAGCAACTTTTACTCTCAAAGCCACAATACATTACCCTGAGGAAAGAATATTGTATCCTTACACAACTTACATGACTTTTCAAAGCGTCGTTCAAACATTGTTCAAACACAAACCACGACAGTTCAGTTATAGACGATTGCAGAATACTATACCTACACTGGACCGCCACGTTTGAGATATCTTTTTCAGGTAGTTCGGACACAAACCACGTACGACAGTTTAATGTAGAACACTGCCTACACTGGACCACTACGTTTGAGATATTTTCCATGTAGTTCAGACACAAATAACGCCAGCGTATAAGCGTATTGTTAAATACTGCCTGCACTGGACCCCATTGGAGATACAGCCTCAGGATTTTTTCAGGGATTTTTTAGAGCCGTTAAACGGCCCCAAAAACTCAATCTTGAATTGAGTTTTGAAACTCAATCTTCTCACCAATGTTTCAGTGCAGTAAAAATGAAGTTGTTTGAGTTAAATTCGTGACGTGTGGAAATTAGTTTTCAGTTGGAAACCCGACAATTAAGAAAAATGGCTGGAATTCATCTCACAACACAAGAAAAACTATGCATTCGCCATCTTTAACCAGTTTATAGTGTCCCTTAGTGCCCCTGCTTTAACACATTCCGTCTCAACTACACTATGACAGGTGTCAGCCCCTCTGCTAAACTCAATCTTCTCTGCAAAAACGGACCCAAGAGAAAATCCGGAAAAAAACCCTGAGCCTACAGGTTAAGTCAAAGACAAAGTGTTCTTCTACCAAGAGGACGCCAATGATTTTAACACGATTTTTGTGTTCCTTAACTTTATGCTAGCTATCGTCCAGGTTTCTGGCAGCTTATCAAACATGCTTGGATCCAGTATTTGGCCGTCCTTGTCATCTTTCTAGCACTCTTCTCAAGAATTAAAAGATTTGTTTTCGAGAATCAAATTGTTATGACCGTCCCGCAAAAAATTCGAACGGAACATTTGGCGTAAGAAGAATGAAAAATGAAAAGTTAAGGCAAAAGCTGTCGCGCATTGTTCCAGCCAAGATGGAGACGAGAAATGTCCTACACCAATCTCTCAACTGAAGATTTCCCTCCTTTGAATTGGACTGAAAGTCTGAAACAACCTTGACAGTGAAACTAGACAATCTTTTTCCCCGCGACAATAAAAAACAGCTTTATTTATTCTAGGTTATTTTGTATCCACAGGGTGTCGCCAAAAAAGTAGTATACCTTTTGAATTTTCCTATTGTAATAATTTGAATGCTTGAGCATTATGCTTAACACACGGAAGCGTAAAGTACAGGATGTATTGAAAAACGAGACCTGAATAAGTAACTCTAACTTCTTGTTAAGTACAACATTTTCTACTCCTGGGGCCGGTTGTATAAAAAAGTGATTAAAGTTAATCATAGTTAAGTGGAAATGTCATCCAATAAGAAGCGCCTATATTTGAGAGTTAATCGCTATTTAACTACAAAATAGTGATTAAAAAAGTGATTAAGAGTTTTATACAACCGGCCCCTGGGAATTTAAAATAGTTTCTAATCGTATGAAGGAGCATAACTGCATGAAAAATTGTAAAATTACTAACTAGTCATATCACTTCTATTCTGTTTTGCGCATCCATGGGTTCGACATGCGTAGTAATAAGACATTCAAATCCCAACATAGGCTTGATTTCAAACCGAGGTATACTTTTTTGGGACACCCTGTATAATTATGTAGTTACATGATCATAATTGTATATATTTAGAAAAGTAACATTAACATCATATGCAAAAGTTTTAACCAAATTAATAGTAAGATGTTTCAGTGTGCAATGTTTGCGGCACAACGGTATATCAGCGACAGTTCCTTACACTGTGACAAGAGCATGCCCGTTCGCAGGTTAAGGGTGTAGGGAACCAAAGCTAGTTAAAGCCTGGTTTCCATATGCGCGTAAAAATCTTTAGAGTCCCGATCTTTCTCAACGGCCAGTTTATAATCGTTATACCTGCATGTAAACCACATATAAATCATAAGTATTCTCTGGTTATAATCAAGTATTTTCAGTTCTAAAATGTTCTATTTCGGCTGATGAAAAAATGGTGACTTAATCTTTACGACCGTCACGACCATATAGAAACCAAGTTTTATTTATTCTGGATAGCTGTATCAGTTCTACAACATGCAGTGTTATCCCCATCATCCAAGGCATATACGATTTTCCGCTTCGCCGGTCGCAATTTGCAAATTTGCGCAACCTGTAAAAATGCAGGTGTCAACAACAGAAATTACATGGGCGCGGTCGAACAAGTAATTATCTATTTTTCCACCCTGATGAAATATACCGATCGTTCTACACGTATATGATTGTTGTTCCATAGTCCTGTTTATAATTTTGAACAAAATTCACTCGCTTGGATTTTTTCTAATCTTGGATTTTTTACCGACGCTTTTGCCGTTGTGTTGATCTGTGTACAGAAGTTTATCAGAGAATTTGCTGGGGGAATTGTGGCAGAAAAGTGTGTCGTATACTGTATAATCTTCTGTAGCCAGGTAGGGTTGAGAATCATTTGTCTTTTCAGACAATGTTCACCCCGCACGAATTCGCAACGGTACAAAATTTTGTCCTGTTCCATTTGTTCCGCATGCATGGGAATTCGTACGGTTCACAGTTCGTGAATTTTGCTCGCTTTTCGTACGTCCCGTATGAACGTGCAAAGTGCAGTCGTGCAAATGTCGCCACCGTTTCAAATTCCAGGCCCTCTGTTCTCCACAGATGCTTTTACAGGATTAGATTATAAAGAGTCATGAGAGTTTTAATATTACAGTAATTGTGCTAGAAGAAAAGTAGTAGCGCAATACTTTACAATACGAAATTCTTTCTAAATACACATTTTAGGTGGTGAGATACAGTTTTCTAAATAATGGAAAATTCACGATTCAATTTAGATCTGTATAATTTTTGGACAGTTTTTACGTGTTGAAAAAGAAAAAGTTTCTTACTGATGTAAAACAACAACAGCTGCAATTTTAAGGTTTCAAATTTTTAACAAAAGTAACAATCAATGACGTTTCGAGATGGCGGATATTTTGGCTTTAGTTAAAATAGTCTAATCCAATTATTGTCTGACTCTTTAATAATAAATGACATGTACAGTTGTGCTGCAAATTATTTATATCATGCAAGCGTTAAAATAGATTTTCTACAATTTGGAAAGGAAAATTTTGTAAAACTGACCGCATTGTTCATCCGTACAACTTGAAATAAAAGCAGGTGCGTTTTTAAAAGTCACAACAATGTCGTCGACTTTCATTGATGATTTTCCATTGATACCTTTGTAAGATTCTGGTCCTGTTATTGTCGCAATTATTGTAACGTCTTCCCTTGGCAGTAATGATATTGGTTTAGGTAGCATAACATCATACCAATATACGCCGTCATTGTCTGCTGTTGAAGTATAGCGGGTCTCTGTTATATTTTCATCTTTGATTGCAAACTCGACGTCGTATTGGCTACCATGGCAATCACCAAACAGTCGAACACCATGAAAGAAAACAAATTTATTGACAGTCAGAGTAAGAGCATCGGAACCTCCATTGTAACTCCAATTCTCGCGACTAACATTGCAAAGATCAAATCTGCTAAAACTGACTATAGGCGGAGGCTGCCTTTTTGTATGCTTCTTCCATTTCAAGCCTGCCACATCTAATCCGTTAAATTGTTGAAAAATAGACACACTCTCTGCGTCTGTGAGTATCCCAGTGGTGGAGACATGTTTTGCAAAGTCTTTCTGTGACATTGCAAGGAAACGAATTTCATACACACTATCCCCTAGAACCTGTCTTCTTGCTGTTTTGTCTTCTTCAATATTTGTACCCTGTCTTGCACATTCGCTGTCCGTCCATCTCAATGCTCCCTTGAACAATTCCACTTCTGATATTGTCAATGTCTCTCTCTTCAGCAAAGCATTCAGTGCACGTGATCCGATATTACAGAATGCTTCCGAGTTTATACACTCTTCAGTTAGCACAGAAACAACTCCCCAGCACTTCGCTTCCAACTCTTTTTCATGGAAATTTAATGCAGCTTGCGCCAACAACGCGAAAACATTATCAGGCTTAATGTTTGCCTCTAGAACCCTGCAACATTTCGCTGCCAAAGACGAATGCATATAACTCCTATCGCGTTCTTTGCAGTGATTTACAATCATCAGTACAGAGAAAAAGCTGGTTGAAGGCTGAAATACAGACCTGTAAAATAGTCGTTTATAGGCAAGAAGACGACGAGTGGTTGGATTTAAAATGCGTTAGTTGTATAAACATGCGTCCTATATAAGCAGGTGGCAACTAAAAAAAACACGGGCGCAATCAAACACGAGCTATCCATTCAAATTAAACTTTATAGTTTTTATAACTAAAAGTTTCTTTCTATTAATTGTGCATGAGTTCGATATCCGTAGTTTTATAGCGTCTCGGGCAATTTTATACGTGATCTTTACAACCGTTTTTTGAAATGAATTTTGAAACAAATGCGAACGATATAAGTTTTATTTTAAAGATTTTACAACAACGTTTCGATGCTATTTCACGCATCATTTTCAAGTTTACATATACTGCGTATTTACTAATAAAACGGTTCATGCCACGTTTGGCAAACTATTGCGTAATTAACATGCAATTTTTAAATTACAAAATAGTACCTATTACAGTGTTCAGCACAAATAGAGTACCTACCAACAGTACCTTTAAGCTAGATCGGTTATGATCGACGCAACTTGTTGAACCTTTTATTACGTTCAATTGATACGGACTGTAGATCACCCTTATTATATAGTAGAAAGTGAGATACTGAAAAATACACAGTGAGATATTTTCCATATCTTCACCAGTGAAGATATCTATCACGTGACTTTTCCAATTTGCTTTTGGGCGCGAAATTTCACAATTTTTCGCTTGGGACTATATAATAAACAGAACATTACATCGTGGCTTGAAGGTATGACTTTTATCTTCTCGTGTTAAAACAATATTTTACTCACTCGCTGCGCTCGTTCGTAACTGAATATTGTTTTCACCACTCGAAGATAAAAGTCATATCTTTGCGCCGCCGTGTAATATCCTCTATTTCCGACATCACAATGTGCTATGACCTATGTTCTGACATTTTGAGGTTTGCCAATGGCACGTTTCAAAAATATACAGTGGGTAAATTTGACCGGGTAAATTTGACCAAGGGAAAATGAAATTTGTTCGAGTGTAAAAATTGGATCAAATCTGTAAAAATTACTGTAAAAATTGGATCTAATCCAGAACCAAGGGAAATTGGAATTAGTTCGATTACATGTCAAGAAAATACAAGTTTTGAGATCGAGTCCAATTGTGTGGTTAAAGATGGGCAAAGTTCCTTTACTGTACAGCATTTCAAACTGCAGAAGGCACTCGTACCTCCCCTGGTACTTTTAATTTAAAGGACAGGAAAGCAGCTTTTAATACGGCCAAACGGGACATTGTCTGACTTTGTAAAAATAATAATTTAACAATCTCTACATTGCCATTGGCTCAATTGGCCCATACTTACATGTTAATCCTTTAACTAATAAATGATAGTTGTGCTGCACGATTTAGAAAGAAAAAAATTTGTAAAACTGACCGCAAGTTATATTCGTGCAACTTGAAAGGCCTTGAAATGAAGTCATCGACATTCACTGATGATTTTCCGTTGACACCTTTGAAAAGGCCATGTTACACGGTGCAATTTTTCCGTTGCAACTTGCAATGCAATTCTACTCTTGAGAGATGTAAAATTACCAAATACGCGAGTCTTCATTAGACTCCGCTTATGTTTTCTTAACATATCAAAAATTCTTCACTGATTTCACTAATTGACATCTCTCAAGAGTAGAATTGCATTGCAAGTTGCAAGAAAAATTGCACCGGCCTTAAGACTCTGCAGGTCCTGTTATTGTCGCAACTATTGTAACGTCTTCCCCTGGCAGTAGTGATACTGGTTTAGGCAGTATAACATCATACCAATATGCACCGTCATTGTCTGCTTCTGAAGTATAGGTGTCTGTTATGGAGTCCTCACCGGAGTTGGGCTGGTTACGGCACTGCATGCAGCACAGTTGTAAATTTCAAAAAGTTGAATCAACTCCAAAAGTATATATTATTAGGAGCTCTGATTAGGAGTAACACTTTTGGAGTTGATTAAATTGCTTGAAATTTACAGTGTATTAATGAAATATGATTAATATAACAATTAACCGTGCTCAAGGTACTGCAAATCAAAAAATGCCTAACCCTAAAATACTCATTAATAATTCATGAGGAAAATACAAAAGAAATTAATGTTTAATCAATGTTTGTAAATCGGATAAAGATTTGTCCTGATTTACATAAACTTCAGGGGCCGGTTCAGTGGCGGCGCCAGGCCTCAGAATTTGGGGGCATTTGAGGGGCAAACTCATATTTGGGGGGGGCAAGATATAATTTTTAAAAAGGTCGCCCCCCCAGGAGATTCGCCCCCCCTCAAAAGGAATATCGCCCCCCCTGTGGTTTATTCAAATAATTTCGTGATCAGTTTCATCTTATTAGTGCCTTACACGTTTGAGAACTTAACCCTGCAAAACTAAAGCTTTTTGTCTTTTTTGAAACGTATTATTGGAGTATTGGCAAGTTTTACCATTCAGAGATTTACAAACTAATATTGAAACTGTAAAAAACAGTTTCATGTATACGCGCATTCTGACTAATGAGTAATGACAACTTATCGGCCATACATTTTCCGATAACGACAAAACGCTTGTGTAGCCTTTAGTCGCTCTTAGTGACTAATAATTTTTTTGAGGGGGGGGCAAAATGGGGGGGGATAATTTGGGGGGCATTTGCCCCCTCTTGTTCCCCCCCCCCCTTGGCGCCGCCACTGGGCCGGTTGTTCAAAGCTGGATTAGCGCTAACACTGGGTTAAAATTTAACCTGCTGTTTTAGTTTATGTATTTCTGCACATGCATCTATTTGTTTTAAAACTTCAGAAAAGAAAATTCTCATTTGTCCAGACAAGATTTCTGAAGAAATATTTCCAAGTTTATAACGAAGCTGTTGGCAAGTTTGCTTTGAATTTTACTATTTTAGGTAAACCTAGGGTTAAGCTACAGTAATTGGCTTTTGAACAACCTGCCCCAGCTTTGAATTCCTTTGATTTTCTCGGCTTAGACAATGTTTATTTTTAAAATTACTTCGCCAATGAACTCATAAGATGGGTCATTTTTTAAGCACGTTAAAACATTCGCATCCGATCTGTATCGGCTGATATACAAACACTCGCCTTTGGCTCGAGTTTGTATATCAGATCGATACAAATCGGCTGTTCATGTTTTCTAGTACTTATAAATCGTCCAGTATTTAAATCATTGTATCTAATCCAGTATTTACTAGTATTTAAATCGTCCAGCATAAGTGTTAAATCGTTTTCAGCTTAGTTTTCATACCTATGTTAGCGATTAATGAATATGATTGTTGCGTCTGTAAATTAAATATACCCTACAATATATACCCTGGTTCCAGAGGTTTATTTTTATTATTTTCATTGCGAAGGAGAGAGGAAAAATAAACCTCTGGTTGAAAGCGGCAATTAGGGTCAGATCCTGACTTTGTCTCCTGATTGGATGATTGTATTAAAGCTCTCTGATTGATTCAAATAAAACATCTATAACCAATCAGAGAGCTTTAATACAATCATCCAATCAGGAGACAGAGTCAGGATCTGACCCTAATTCAAACTGATTGGCGCGGCTCGATGAATCAATTGCTGCTTTCAACCAGAGGTTTATTTTAAACCTCTGGAACCCAGGGTATACAATATATGGCACGCATGATACAATACCGTGCATTAATTAAACCCTAGTTCGTTATGTTACTGTATGTGTACAGTTCAGAAAGAAAAATGCTGTAAAATTGACCTTGAGATTTCGTTGTACCATTTCGACTTAAACCAGAAGGCGCGTCTTTAAAAGTTATGACAGTGTCGTCGACTGTCACTGAAGTACTCCCATTCCAACCTCTCAGAGATTCTGGTCCTCTTATTGTCGCAATTATTGTGATCTCTTCATTTGGCAGTAGAGGAATTGGTTTCGGTAACATGACATCGTAACCCGACACGCCGTCACTGTCTTCCTCTGAAATGTAGCACCCTTTTACATCTCGATCTTTGTCTTTAATCGTAAAGTTTACTTCATATTGACTACCACAGAAACCAAACAAGCGAACACCATGAAAGAAAGCAGCTTTATTGACAGTAAAAGCAACGGCGTCGGAATCGGTTCCATTGTAATCCTTTTTCCAAAACTCGTCATCAACATTAGCAGGGTCAAATCGGCTGAAAATAACCGTAAACCGCCATTTTTCATGCTCTTTCCATTTCAAATCGGCCACATCTTCACCGTCAAGCTTTTCACGAATACAGGTGATCTCTGTGGCTGTAAGTATTCCAGTAGAAAATACAAAATTTTCAAAGTTTTCCTGTGATATTTCAAGGAAACGAATTTCATACACACTATCCCCTAGAACCTGTCTTCTTGCCGTTTGGTCTTCTTCGATATTTATACCCTGTCTCGTACATTCACTGTCTATCCATCTCAATACTCCCTTGAACAATTCCACTTCTGTGATTGCCAACGTCTCTTTCTTTAACAACGAATTCAGTGTGTCTGATGCGATATTACAGAATGCTGCCGAGTTGATGCATTCCCGAGTTTTCTTCGAAATAATATCCCAGCATTTTGCTTCTAGCTCGTTTTTCATATCAAATAGTTTAACTGCTTGCTCCAACACCACGAAAACGTTGTCAGGTTTAATGCTTGTCTTTAGAACCTTGCAACACTTCTCTGCCAAAGACGAAATGAGATACTTGTTAGCCAAATACAGAACTCCTATCGCTTTCTCTGCATTGGTAATTTCACAATCGTCAGTGTACAGAAAACGCAGAAACTCTTTGAAGCTTTCTTTTTCCGCGTCTGGGATGCAAATGGGAAATTCTTTGTGAGCTAAATCGCCATAAAACATGGCGTAAAACACAGTACTGCTCGTGGCAAGCATGTATTTATGAGCACGAAATATGCGACTCGATTCCCCGCAAGTAAAAGATACATCGCTCATTAATTCGTTATCAAACATATATGCGTTTCTTTGTAAGACTGTTTTCTTACTAGATTGCCAATTGTCGTGATATTTTGAAGCCATGATCATGGAATGATAGAGATGATAAAAGGTTTAAAATATAAAAGCTTAAGAGCTGTATTAAAAACAAACGTTTATAGCAAGACGTGGAGTTGAAAGGTCAACAATATTATTCAGCAAGTCGTGGAATTGAAACCCACAATATTATTTGCATAACAATACTTGTCATTGCAGGGCAACAATTCAACTCTCTAACTTATTTTCCATAATAAGTACAATTCAATCCGTAATAAGTACATTGATAATCAAGTACTTTGTAGTTGAACATGAAATTCAAATTTCAAATTTTATTCACACATTTCCTAGTCTTCCTACATATTTGCAAATACAAATTTTAATAAAGAAAATTAATAGGGTGTAGTAATATAGATTTGAGAATGATAAGTATGCATATACAATATCGTACATTAAAACCATGATTTAAACCTAATTCGTAAATGGACTTAACTTTTCGTTGTACCATTTCGACTTAAACCAGAAGGCGCGTCTTTAAAAGTTACGACAGTGTCGTCGACCGTCACTGAAGAACTCCCATTCCAACCTCTCTGGGATATTGTTATCAAGTTCCGGTCCTTCTATTCCGTTGCTAAATTATTGTGATATCTTCATTTGGCAGTAGCTAGAGGACTTGGTTTTGATAACATGACATCGTTGAACCCGATACGCCGTCAATGTCTTCCTCTGAAGTGTAGCATCCTTTTATATTTTGATCTTTGTCTTTAACCGTAAAGTTTACTTCATATTGGCTACCATAGAACCAAACAAGCGATCACTATGAAAGAGAACAGCTTTATTGACAGTAAAAGCAACGGCGTCGGAATCGGTTCCATTGTAATACTTTTTTCAAAATTCGTCATTAACATTGGCAGAGTCAATTCGGCTGAAAATAACTGTTTACCGCCATTTTTCATGCTCTTTCCATTTCAAATTTTTCACATCTAGTCCGTCAAGCTTTTCAGGAATACAGGTGATCTCTGTGTCTGTAAGTATTCCGGTAAAAGATACATAATTTTCAAAGTCTTCCTGTGATATTTCAAGGAAACGAATTTCATACACATTATCTCCTAGATTACTAGAACCTGTCTTCTTGCCGTTTTATCTTCAGTCTTCAATATTTATACTTTGTCTTACATTATTTATATCAAACGTTAAAATAGATTTTCTGATTTAGAAATGAAAATTTTGTAAAACTGACCGCAAGTTTTATTCGTACAACTTGAAATGAAAGCAGGTGCGTTTTTAAACGTTACAACAATGTCATCGACTTTCACTGATGATTTTCCATTGATACCTTTGTAAGACTCTGGTCCTGTTATTGTCGCAATTATTGTAACGTCTTCCCCTGGCAGTAATGATACTGGTTTAGGCAGCATAACGTCATACCAATATACACCGTCATTGTCTGCTGCTGAAGTATAGGTGTCTGTTATATTTTCATCTTTGATTGCAAACTTGACTTCGTATTGACTACCACGGGAGTCACCAAACAAGCGAACACCATGAAAGAAAACAGATTTATTGACAGTCAAAGTAAGAGCATCGGAACCTCCATTATAACTCCAATTCTCGCGACTAATATTGCCAAGATCAAATCTGCTGAAACTGACTATAGGCGGAGGCTGTCTTTTTGTATGTTCCTCCCATTTCAAGCCTGCCACATCTAAACCGTTAAATTTTTGAAAAATAGACACACTCTCTGCGTCTGTGAGTATCCCAGTAGTGGAGACATGTTTTGCAAAGTCTTTCTGTGACATTGCAAGGAAACGAATTTCATACACACTATCCCCTAGAACCCGTCTTCTTGCTGTTTTGTCTTCTTCTATATTTATACCCTGTCTTGCACATTCGCTGTCTGTCCATCTCAATACTCCCTTGAACAATTCCACTTCTGATATTGCCAACGTCTCTTTCTTTAACAAAGTATTTAGTGTATGTGATGCAATATTACAGAATGCTTCCGAGTTTATGCATTCCTGAGTGTGCAGAGAAACAACTCCCCAGCACTTTGCTTCCAACTCTTTTTCATCAAATTGAACTGCTTGCGCCATCACCGCGAAAACGTTATCAGGCTTAATGCTTACCTCTAGAACCTTGCAACATTTCTCTACCAAAGACGAAATTATATATTTCTTAGCCAAATACATAACTTGTATCGCGTTCTCCGCACTAGTAATTTTACAATGATCAGTGTAGAGAAAACGCAGAAACTCTTCGAAGCTGTCTTCCTCCGCGTCTGGGATGCAAATGAGAGATTTATTCTGAGCTAAATTCCCGTAGAACATGGCATAAAACACAGCACTGCTCGTGGCAAGCACGTATTTGTGAGCATGAAATATGCGGCTTGATTGCCCACAAGTGAAAGATACATCGCTCAACAATTCGTTATCAAACATATACGCGTTTCTTTGTAAGACTGTTTTCTTGCTTGATTGCCAATCGTCGTGATATTTGAAAGCCATAATCATGGAAATGGAGTGACAAACTCAGATAAAGCTGAATGAAGATTTAAAGTAATGTATAGAACTGTAAAACAAACACTTGTAGCAAGACGACGTGTCTTTGCGTGTCTTTACATGTAAAATTCGGAAGTGTTTATGTGCATCACATGAGATGTACAGGGTAAAAATGAAACGTATAGGGGTTCTGACTTCAGATCATAAGGGTCAGCATGCTCAATCTTATCGAGTCAAAATAGAATGGGTTAGTTTAAGATTTACCCCACTCTGTCCAGCGAGAATCGAACTGCCGATATAAATGGCGAAAGGTGCCTTGCTCTGACGATTGCGCACCGATTTAACTTCTTTGCAGATTAAAGCACATTGTAGTATGAGTAGGCTACATGGTAAAACCAGGACCTGTCGTCGAATCCTAGGGGGAATGTGGGAAATCAAATTTTTGTTGGTAAGGGGAGAATATTTTAATATTAAACGTTGTAATATTAATAAAGTGTCATTGAAATATTATTTAATTTTCAAGAACTATCGTGATCGACGACTATTAAGACATAAATTTTCTATGCATTGTCAAAATTCGTTATGTTTCTTAATTGCCTTCCTAAATTATTTGTTGTAGTGTCGGGTCCTGGGTTTAGATAATCGTGTTACCACAAATGGATAATAGTAACTGGGCATATAATTACATAATATCCAACAACTTTAATAAATATGGTAATAGTTTGGTTTATACTTGCATGATGCTAAATGATAATAGATGTACAATTAAGCCCTGTTTACACTACGCTCAATTTTTGGTACGGCATGGATAAAATTGGTACCTGTACCACTTTTTCGGTTCTTGGACTACTTATTTAGGTAGTCCAAGAACCAAAAAAGTGGTACGGTACCAAAAATCGAGCGTAGTGTAAACGGGTCTTTAGTCATTTATAATTATGATTTTCTACAGTGACTATAACAGCTTAGAAAGGAAAATTTTGTAAAATTGACCAAATTCTTTTCTTGTACAATTGGGAGTTAAATCAGAAGGTGCAGTTTTAAACATTACAACAATTCTATCGACTTTCGCTGATGGTTTTCCATTGTAACCACCATCGGATTTTGGTCCTTTTATTGTCGCAATTATTGTGATCTCTTCCTTTGGCCGTAGAGAAATTGGTTTTGGTAATATGACATCATAACCAGATACGCCATCATTGTCTGGCTCTGAAGTGTAGTACCCTTTTACACTTTCATCTTTGTCTTTGATCGTAAAGTTTACTTCGTATTGACTACCACGGGAGTTGCCAAACAAGCGAACACCGTGAAAAATAACAGCTTTATTGACAGTTAAGGTGAGAGCATCGGAATCCACATCATCATAACTCCAGCTATTAGCTCGAAAATTGCCAGGGTCGAATCTGCTGAAACCGAGTATACATGGTTGTCTTTTTTCTCGCTTCCATTTCGGGTCTGTCACATTTACTTCCCTAAACTTTTGATAAACAGACTCGATCTCTGCGTCTGTGAGTATCCCAGTAGGAGAGACATATTTTGCAAAGTCCATCGGTGACATTGCAAGGAAACGAATTTCATGCACACTGTCCCCTAGCACCCGTCTTCGTGCCGTTTTGTCTTCTTCAATATTTATACCCTGTCTTGCACATTCGCTGTCTGTCCATCTCAATACGCCTTTGAACAATTCCACTTCTGTTATTGTCAACGTCTCTCTCTTCAGAACCGCATTCAGTGTTTGTGATGCAATATCACAGAATGCTTCCGATCTTATGCATTCTACAGTGTTCGTCGAAAAAATACCCCAGCACTTTGCTTCCAACTCTTTTTCATCAAAATAAACTGCTTGTTCCAACACCGCGAAAACATTGTCAGGCTTAATAAATGCCTCTAGAACCTTGCAACATTTCTCTGTCAAAGACGAAATAAGATACTTCTTAGACAAATATATAACTTGTATCGCCGTCTCTGCACTAGTAATTTTACAATCATCGATGTACAGAAAACGCAGAAACTCTTTGAAGCTTTCTTCTTCCGCATCTGGGATGCAAATGGGTGATTCTTTTTGAGCTAAATCGCCATAGAACATTGCATAAAACACAGTACTGCTCGTGGCAAGCACGTATTTGTGAGCATGAAATATGCGACTTGATTCTCCACAAATGAAAGAAACATCGCTCATCAATTCGTTATCAAACATATACGCGTTTCTTTGTAAGACTGTTTTCTTACTAGATTGCCAATCGTCGTGATATTTTGAAGCCATGATCATGGAATGATAGAGATGATCGAAGATTTAAAATATAGAGTTGTAAAACAGACTGTAGCACGACAAGTGGACAACATGTCTATGTAACGGAAGTGTTACATGATACGCATGAGTTGATTTGCATGAAAATTCAACGTTTGGGTCAATCTAACCTCGTTTTGGGTCAGGTTCTCGTGAGCTCTGAAATAGGCCAACTTACAGTCTTTGGTAGTGGTACCCAAAGGCCAAAATGCTATTTCAATGTTTATTTACACTTGTGAGAAATGCTTCTCTCAAAAGTGTAAATAAACATTGCATATCAAGTTATAATAAGTTCGATAATAAGTTGGTTTAGTCCTTCAGTTTCCACCAGATTAAAATTATTAAATTATTTCACCGGTGGTCATTAATTCTTACTGTAGAAGCTCGCTCACCTCGCTGGCGATATGTTACCAAATTAAAACTTTGAAAACGAGTTTAATAAAATTAATATGATATTCTGAGTTCAATATGTTGTAATCAGTGCAGTTTCACAATTGATATCTACAGATAACTTGCTTTATTAATTTCTTGGTGGATGTCAAAGACTCCATAGGCAGTCTAAATATTATAGGTCTTGCTGGGGACGAGTTTGCCCCATAGATATGGTTTGCCCATATTCACGTAAATTCTTGGATAAGGAAAAGATAATTCCAATTAATTTAAATATTTTTAGCTCTGTCTAAAGAACTGTGGTGGGATTTATTGTGCCTTCAAAGTAACAAGTCAGAATGCCAGGTTATGAAGTGCAGTTTGCTGATCCATTGGACAAGTCGTTCGAATGTCCAATATGTTGGAATGCATTGCGCAGTCCAGTTCAAGTGACACCTTGCGGTCATCGGGTTTGTCAATCATGCCTCGAGCCCATCATGAGGTGAGCGTTTTGTCCCTTTTATGCTGTGAAAATAGACAATGACCCCATTCATATATCTGTGACAACGCATCATCCGTCTGAAACGTCATTCTCCTTAGCGTAAACCCAAGAAAAAAATTCTATCAGTCCTAAAGTCTTTTCAAATGACGTCATTTTTACTTCACTGGTAAAGCTAATTTGAGGCGGGCAAGCCCTGCATGGTATACTTGACTTTTCATGTACATGCATTCCATAAACTGGGATATTTTAAAATTTTTATCCCTCCAGACACAGCTAAAATATCACTGAAGGAACTACAGCACCCTTACCCTAATCAAATACTTTTTGTGGCAATTTGAGCCGCTATATCAATGACTTTGTTTGACGTTTTGTATAGGAACAGAAATCCAAAATGTCCACTGGATAACCTTCCTTTGAACGGAGAAAAGGTATTTATTCACAAGATACACGAATTAATTAAACTTCCATCTAAGTGAACGTTTGCCATTACAGAAAAGACCATGAAAAACACTGACTCATATTTAAGTAATAAAATATTACTCAATTTGCAGGTGTTCCCAGATAATGGATGTCTTCGACAAATCTTATCTTTAAAGATATTGTGTAAACGCAACAGTAAGGGTTGCGAGTGGACTGGTCCTTTGTGTGAGGCTGAAGTACGAATTTTTTACTTGCCTTTAAGTATAACTTTAAGTATACATTTACTTGCCTTTAAGTATATAAACTTTAAGTATACATAAAGAGAATAGGCTAGCACTCGTTTTCGTGTTACCGTTTACAAAAAGCTGTTGAAAACATAATTCGATGTAGCGTGAATGCTTCTTAGACTTCTTACGCCTGTATTCTAATAGCCTGCGGCGTAGACGCAATTTCAAAGTATTCTAAAAGCTCACTCACACTCAATGAGTGGAGGTTCAATCTGAGCTTCTCTTGAGTGTCAATGACTCAATGATGTTTTTGAATAGCTGGATGGAGAGTAGTCACATAGTAAGATACTAACCCTCCAGCTATTCAAGAACTGCAATGACACTCGAGAGAAGCTTAGATTGAACTTCCACTCATTGAGTGTGAGTGAGCTTTTAGAATACGGGCGTATGCTTTTCTCAGGGCTATCTGAACTAATAGCGCCCTATTTCCGTCTTTCTGCTCTACAAATCGTTGTTTAGTTGTTAGCTACTACTCAAACATGTGAATTTTAAATTTCTGTTTGTGCATCACAGCCATCACTTATTTTAGTTTTCTCTATTTTCTGTCGTATCATGTACAATCATGTACATAAATAAGTGAAAATATCTTCCACTTTTATCTAGGACCACGAGAACGAGTGCGGTTACGTCGATATCGAATGTCCAAATAGTTGTGGCGAGATGATTAAGAAGCGAGATATAGAAAGCCATGATAACGAATGTCTTCTTCGCGAAGAAGCATGTGAATATTGTAACGCTGGAGTGACTGCATCACAACAGAATGTAAGTTGACATAATAAGGCTCAATGCAGAACAGGGAACATTTGTCATTGCAGTCTGGCTGTTGCAGACACATTGTTTCCAGAAAACATTGTTTCCAGAAAACATTGTTTCCTAGGTACGTTTCCCTAAGGTGAGCAAGACAGGAACCGTTGTTTTCTAGGGTGGGCAAACCAGGAAACATTGTTTCCTGGCCATGTTTCCCAAAGTTGGCAAACAAAGAAACATTGTTTTTTAGTCATATTTCTGGAAGGCAGTCAAACCAGGAAACATTAATAATTGTTTCTTAGCTATCCTGAAGGTAGTTAAACCAGGCAACATTGTTTCCTAGCCATGTTTCCCAATGGTGGGCAATTACCAGGACACATTGATTCCCCAGATCAATATTTTCGGATGTTTCCGCAACGTTTCCGGTTTATAATTGTCCAGGCCTGCATGGTTCACGATTAAGCAGTGATGATCTACTTTTTCGCTTTTCCCCTAGTTGCATTTGGAAACTTGTCCAAAGTTACCCGTGGATTGTCCCTGGGATTGCGGAGCTCGTAACATGACCAGAGACATGGTGAGCAAAATATGATTCTATCATAGACTACATCTTCTATTTAACTTTATCGTTCTTTTACTAATATTTTTCGTGTCTTTTAAAGAGTAGATTTATTACCGAATTGATATACGACCATACGAGAAAGGGGAGACAAACAGACGACTTTTAACAAGACAAGGACATTGAAACTGAATATTTTGTAACGTATACGAACAATATTTAGGAAAATGTTGACATTTTAAACTTGAGATTTGAGATGCCGATCCGCGCATGTGAAAATCAACCCATCCTTTGAAACAGATATACTGGCCAATTCCTTATATGGAGAGTAAAACTGACGTTGTGGTTGATAAAGTTTTTGGCTACCGGAGATAGTTCGTCTGCACGCATTATGCGTCTAGCTTGTGCCCATCTTTATACTGAAGACGCATTACTGAACTGAATGCGTCTCTAGTATAAAGACAGCCAATCTCTCCGATGTAGTTCCTCCTTGGTGCATAATTACAAACAAATGGTTGGGGGAGAATATTCTTTCTATTTTTCGGGGGTGTGGGGTGTGGAAGGATTTTACCTGAAATTTGAACAATGTTAAAAATTTACCTGACTTACATTAATTATAATCGAGAATTATTTTTTCCATTGATTTCCACTGTTATACTAAGTTTCCGAAGAAGAGGGGGTCTGGGGATCCCCCCCAGGATTTTTTACATTGTTGAAGCTCCAGGACTGCATTTCTGTCGTTTTCTAAATTCTAAAGCAAATTGGATCTAAATTGACTGTATTTTACAAAAATGATTATCATTACGCAAATTTTACCTGAAAATCTCAAAATTTTAATCAGTTTAATTTTACCTGATTTTTCCCCGAGTTTCACAGTTAATTGAGGGTGGTTTGCACCCCCACACCCCCGGTCGCTACGTCCCTGCTTGCATTCTGTAGTTTTTCATAAGTCGGTTTTCCATTATGCATGCAGGATCAACTGTAAGTGGTATACATGATGACACATCACACCTGGTGTTTTTACATAAAAGTTTTTATGCAAGTTAAGATCATAATATACTATTAAATGCTAATAATGCTAATATTTATTTATTGAATTATTGTATATTTGTAGCTTGTTGTTCACAAACTACACGAATGCTCAGTGAGTGTATTGGAATGTAAATATTCTGATGCTGGATGCAAATTTACGGTAGGGATATAACGAAGAAATTAATATATTTATAATTTATTAGTGGAGAGTCATAATCCTTTTCAGAACTGAGACGCACAGATTACGGCATTAGGAATTCACGCAAATTTTTCAGCCAATCATATATAGCTCTATCACAAACCAATGACGTGCGTTATAGATGACGTCAAAGGACACGTAAATCTCTTCCCTACGCGGTCAACTTGAGAGGTGAAAGTTCTATCCCAATTCTATTCCAAAAGATAAATCCCATGCACATTTTTCTCACTCTGATAACTGCAGGTTGACCAGTGAAACCTGCCTATAACTGCGCTCCATTACACCACATGTGTAATATTACTCAACATAGTAAATAGGTAATCAGGATTTATTCTTTTAGGCAAAACGAGACGAAATGGAGAAACATTTAGAAACAGACACGAAAGAACACTTGGCCTTAGTCCACGAAAAACTACTTCGTCAGCAAAAATGTCTTGAAGCCCAAAACGAAAGCATTCAACTCCAAAAAGAACATATAAAGCTCCAACGAGACGCTCTAAGCACCTATAAGAAAGACCTTGTAGAACTCCGAAGCAAGTTTGCCGATGGGGAACTTATTTGGAAGATTTCTCAATTCAATCAGAAAATGAAAGATGCCAAAACGCAACGTTCGCCAGAGCTGTTGGTCAGTGAACCGTTTTACACGCATAAGAATGGATACAAGATGTGCGCTGGATTGTGGGTAAATGGTTTTGGTAGCGGAAAGGGGAAATATATCTCAGTAGGATTGCAGGTAAAATATGAAATTGCGTACGATATTTTTATGATTGTATTTGAACGACTTAGTGCTCAAAAAGTTGAAAGATGCCAAGATGTTGATGGCACAGTTAGTTCACGTGCTTTTCACGTGTGTGACGGATGCGTAAAGAGTGGGTTTCTTGCGTTATACGCTGGTTTCCTCCTTCATGAAGTAACAAAGGACCAAGCGATGACTCATTCTGAAACTCTGGGAAGAACAGTTTAGAACTGATAATAGAGGCAGGACTATCTACACTGGACCTCTAGGGAGAATAGTTTAGAACTGATAGGGCTATCCAGTATACAAACAAAGTTAGTATAGTTTAGGTTTTCTCCTGTAGTAACATTTGAGAATTTATAGAGCTATACAGTATAAATACAGTTAGTTTAGTTTAGTTTAGTTTAGATTCTCCTGGACTTCCAGGAAGAACAGTTTAGAACAGTTTAGAGTTTAGCTATCCAGTATTAATAAAGTTAGTTCAGCATAACTGTAGAAGGCTAAAAGCGTAGAACCATGGTCATCTAACCAAATCAGAACACTAAACTGAATAAGCTCTTTCTATTTTCTCCAGGTTATTGTGGGCGAATACGATGACATCTTATCCTGGCCTGTCAACCCAACATTCACTTTCACCTTGCTCGACCAACGGGGGAACACGAAGGAACGGCGACACATTACGGCAAGTTTTGATCCTCACTGGATTGCCAGACCAACACCCGAAAGGCAGCTTGGGAAAGGCGCGCGAAAATTTGTTCTTCAAAGTGTTGCATGTGGTGACACGTATTGTAAGAATGACGCAATATTTATACGATTTGTCGTCAATGTCGCTCACAGAGGGCGAGATTTTGTCGACGCGTAAAAACACGTTTAAGGCACAGAGCACTACTAAAATATTGTTTCCTAGCCATGTTTCCTGGATGTGGGCAAACCTGGAAATATTGTTGCAGAAACACTCGGCCAGGTTTTCCAAAGTTTGGGGCAACCAGAAACACTGATTTGTTAGAATGACTTGCTTGTACAGTGAACTATTTGTGAGTTGTTGTTCACTTACAAAATATCCTGGCTGTGGCATGACCAGGTGTACAAGTTAAAAACTCAGAAAACAATGTTTGCGAGTCTCATTTGCGAAACAAAATATTTCTGAACGTGTCAGTTGGGAGAGTTTTGCTTTCCTGAAAGGAAATTTTGTATCCGCTGTTTGAGAAAACATCAAGATTTACAAACGTTTTCAAAAGATTATATTTTATTAAAGAAACTTATCTTTGATCGTGTAAACAGCTTAACAGCATCTTACCACTTTATACGTATACTATAATATTAATAAAAAGTTTTCATTATAGTCGATTTGTATTATATATAATCTTCATCTTTTCCCTTTATTTAAAGATCGGGCCTTTTTATGTCATTGTATCATCCTCTGTAACTATTGTATCATCCTCTGTAAACCCAACATCTTCCATAATCTTCTTCATTCTTTCACTCTATCTTATCGTTTGCTTTCCTCTGAATCTTTTTCCTCCTACAGATTCTTTTCATGCTTTCTTAATAAATTTTCCATCATTCCTATTTGTGATCATCTTATATATTCTTACTTCTACTTTCTTGACTATACTTTCTACTCCAGCTCTTCTTCTAACCTCCTCGTTTGTAAGATGTTCTCGGAGATATGCCTTGAATCCATCTAAATACCTACAATTTATTTCTAATCAAATGTCCGAACCATCTCATTCTTACTTCTACTTTCTTAAATTTACTTTCTACCGCAATTGTTCTTCTAACATCTGTTCTTCTGTTGTCCTTGTTTATAAGATGTTCTCGGAGTCATTTCTTGAATCCATCTAAATACCTACAATTCATTTCTAATCAAATGTCCGAACCATCTCATTCTTACTTCTACTTTCTTGAATATTCTTTATATATTGCAGTTGTTCTTTTGTTGTCCAAGTTTGGAAGATGTTTTCGGGGTTATTCCTTAAATCAATCTATTATCCATTATAATCAAATGTTCAATAATTTTATTCTTGCTTCTACTTTCTTGGCTACACATTCTACCCCAGCTGTTCTAACGTCCTCGTCTCGGAGTGATATTCCTTGTATCCATTATAACACTCTGATCCCAGTACTCTCTATAAGTAGTAGAGTTTTGTTGCGATCGACTATGCCCGGAGTGACTATCATTTGCATTGCCAGACGAGCAAACTATCGAGTTCTTAAAAGCTGGTTTGCGTATCCGAAAATGTTCGTTTCTATAGCAGTATATATACACATTAATTACTCCACTAGTAAAACTCATTGTTGTGCCCCACGGGTATAAGTAATTAACATAAATATTGTCCGTTCCTCTCACGATTACATACGCAAAAGCAGACAGAATTGGTATTAAAGTAATGCATAGCACTCCAATGATGTATAATATTCGGAAAATGGTTTTCTTTTCTTTGGCAGTTAACTTGAACGTTTGCACTGCATTGTGGGTTTTCTTTGGCATCTTTTGACATGGTGTTTCAGCAGGTACTGTCACTTCTTCATTGTGATTGTTGCTGTTGTCGGCTGTATTTGAGTCCATGCTTGTACCTGCTAACATAGAAAAGATCGAGTTGATAAAACACTATGCTTGCTAAGGGTCATCTCCTGTTGGTCCAGCGTTACTACAGGAGGAAACCTACAGTATACTATACTATTCAGGGATGGATCCAGCATGATCTGGTAGGGGGGGAGGGGGGTGTGCTCTGCCAGCTCTGGTTCCGAGTTTTGTCGGTTATGTGCGCCGCCCACCCACCAACTTGCTTGATTACTGCAAAGTCTTGCTTGACTACTGTATTCGAGTTTACGTTTATCATTTTTCTGTTACTCATATTACTGTATCTCATATTGTCTCAACAGCTCCTTCCATCTCAACAGCTCCTTCAAAGAATAATATTGTGATTTTATGAACTGAAAACTTGATTAGTGATACGGTCCATTAGAAAAAAACTGGAATTAGCTTGGGAAAATGGTATAAAAACTGTTTACGACCTTCAGAGCTATTGGATGTCAATGCCCGCCATCTTGGCTTCACTTTTCTCATTGACCGAATGACTGAAGTTCTTACTCCAGATATATACATATATATATATATATAGAGAGAGAGAGAGAGAGAGAGAGAGAGAGAGAGAGAGAGAGAGAGAGAGAGAGAGAGAGAGAGAGAGAGAGAGAGAGAGAGAGAGAGAGAGAGAAAGAGAGAGAGAGAGAGAGAGAGAGAGAGAGAGAGTAGAGAGAGAGAGAGAGAGAGAGAGAGAGAGAGAGAGAGAGAGAGAGAGAGAGAGAGAGAGAGAGAGAGAGAGAGAGAGAGCTCACTGGCTGGGTAAAATACACTAACACCTCTGTCCTCCGCAGAGGCTTTACACACGTAAAAACGCACAAGTTGTAACAAGTCTGCAAACAAGTTGTTACAAGTCTGTTCACAAGCTGTCGACAAGTTGTGTTCGCACTGCTTGTTCCCAGTTTGTTGTAACAAATTTGTAACAAGCTGTTAACAACTTGTAACAAGCTTGATGGCATTATCAGCCTTGTTACAAGTTGTTCTAACAATTTCGTTACAGCCATGATATAACAAGGATGTTACAAGGTTGTCAACACAAGGTTGTAACAATCTTGTTATTTCTCAAATTCATTAATAATTCATGAGCAATTCAGCCAATGATAATCACCTATTTGATCACAAGATGCCATTTGGATACTTGATGAAAGTCACTAGTGTTTTCATCAAATATCTTAATTACGCATGCAAAATTACTTGAATAGAATTCCTAATTACGATATGAATTCTATTCAAATCAGCAAACGAAAACATTCTGTTACGTCTCGATTCATTTGAGAAGCCATATAAACAACTCGAGCTCGTGTCTCACCGGGATATCCAACCACTCGAAAACAATGTATGAAAACACTCGCGATCATACATTGTTTTCTCGTGTTTGGATATCCCGGTGAAACACTCGCTCTCGTTGTTCATATATTACATCAAGCATGTAACGGATTTGTCAGAACAACCTTGCAACAAGTCTGATAATTTCGACATGCTAGGTTGTTACAAGTTGTCAACAAGTTGTTCCAAACCTGTTGACAACTTGTGACAAGCAGTGCGAGATCTTGTTGACGGCTTGTTGGCAGACTTGTTACAAGATGTGAGATTTTTACGTGTGATAGTTGGCTGTGACCTGGCTATTTTCCGTCTGCGCTCCTTCGCCCAGCCGCTACGCTCGTGTTCCAAGTTGGATCCGCCATGTAAAGTGTAGTGAAATGTATCTCAATACTAATCGTAATCATAGCCATCAGAAGCCTCTGTGGAGGAGACAGTACAGCACTGACACTGTGCCAACATCACCCCATGATTCTCGCGATTTATACTTCAGAAGTTACCTGTGTTTAGTCCAGAATTCTTCTTACATGTCTCTCCTTTCTTTTCAACCACTGCAGACAGTCTGTGAATGCGGTTTATATCTTCTTCGGCCAAACCGCCATTCTGTAATTGAGAACTCCTTGGTTGAGCCTTCTCACCATGAAAAATTGTCGATTTTCGACTGACGGAAAATATTTTCACATAAACAGCTACGGTATAGACCAGCCCGAACGATAAAATAAATAAATAGACGTACAACATTTGAGACATCCGTGGCATGATTAGGTGACAAGTTGTCAATAAGATTGCACATGCTGCAAACAGCAATAAACTCACATAAACCAGCACTTTCTTTCGCATGTAAACGCGGTGATAGATCGGGTATAAGATTGCAAAAAATCGTTCTGAAGTTAAAACAATTGTCGCCATTATAAAACTGAATCCCAAAAGTACGCAGACTATTGTTTCGGTAACATTTTTAAGTGTACAATTAAAAATTCCAAAAAACTCCAGGATAAACATGGAAATGAAAAGCGGTTGAGCTACTGCGCTTTGCAGCAAATTAAAAGATGCCAACAGAAAGAGTAAGGTGTTTGAAACAGGCTGTCGGGTCCTTGTTTGGTAGTATTTATAGACCACCAGCCCACTGGCAAACAAGTTTAGTAACATGGTTGTACTATTCACGCAGCATAATGCGACATCGTTGTAGAATATTGAACTGTATAAACTGATGTTTTTCTCGGTTTCCGTAGACCAACATAGCATCCCTTTTGACATTGTAGTAGAAACTATACTTGAACACCAGCTGCAAAAGTTAATAAGACAAAACAAGTAATGCGTCTTAGTCTCTTAGGACTTTTAATAAGATATGGATTAGGCTGCCAAGGCAGATTGCTGTTTATTTAAAGGAACAACACGCGCGCAAATTCGTCTAAGCAAATGAAATGCGCAAATATTTCAGCCGTGCGGATCATCCCTGCTCGTTTATACAATAATGAAATTTCTTTGATCGAAGTTTGATCAAATTATGCTTTCCCTTTGATCAAAGCGTCGGACAACAAATGTAGACCTCTTACTTTAAATGTCTGATTATGAGACATTTCTGTTAGTCTCAGCTGTCTAACATTCACTCGTCAGCTGTGCAAACGCGCCCAAGAAAATACCACTGCCGTCTATTTCTCGTTCCGATACATCTCTATATTACGGACATTTTCCTGCATGTAATCCCTAGTAATAGAGATTTGCGTGAATATACACAACAAAGTCACAAAGAAACATGCATGCATGCATGCATGCAGAATAAAAGTTCGAAGCCAAAACAAGAAGGCCGGGCGTTCAACTATATAAGAAAGTTTCGGATTGATAGGGATCATTACAACTCCCTTAAAAATACAAAAAGAACTTCGACCTTTCGAGCGAAGTTTCGACCTTCGCTCAAAACGTCAAAGTTCTCCCCTTTTTTTTAGGGAGTTGCATCACTATCAATCGGAAGCTTTCTTATTATTGGACCTCCACCGACACAGACCTTTCGACTATATCAGTATAAACTAGAATGCACGAATTTCTATCTGCCCGTATTCCATCCAAGAATGATCATGGATCATGGACTACATGTCATACATCCGTTCGAACCTCTCTCTGAATAGGACAAGGCAGGCCAAAGAAACATGAATTATTTGTTTATAGAGGAGTTGAGAGGTGTCCGTAGGAAGGAGCTGTTCGATTGTTGTCATCCATCTGTTTGGCGTGTATTTCATCAAAAAATATTTTCCATATCACTCGTTCATGAAACATATGGCCAATATACAGTGAGGGGGTAAATTAATTACCTGATTCAAGCGCGTATTACAATAAATTTGACAGTTTTGTTCTACGCTCTATTATAAACATTACATACATACCCTTTTTAAAGAAAAGTTTTACACAAGCCGTCCAAAAACAACTGTAAAAATGTCCAACAAACAAGCTTTAAAACACGACGATGACAAAACCAAAACCCCGCGTCATATCTAATTAGCATGAGCCTTTGCCAATTTTGCGGGAAATGCAATTATTGCAAAATAAACAGAAAATTTGGTTGATCACAAATATTAAAATCATAAATTTGTGATAATTATTCATCAGATTTTACAACTAAAAATTTGTAACAGTCGTTCGTATTTGGATTGTAAACGTATCATGGCAAGTGTGAAATCGCGTAAATAAAGTTGTTTGAAAACGTCGCATCATATCTAAAGCTGAATGTGGAATGCTTGATTAGCTTGATTGGCAATCGCCTTTAATAATCTATCATCCATTGTAATCAAATGTTCAATCACCTCATGCTTGCTTCTCATTTCTTGGCTACACATTCTAGGCTGCAGCTGTTTTAACGTCCTCGTCTCAGAGTGATATTCCCTGTATCCATTATTACAATCTGATCCCAGTCCCCTCTATATAAGTGGTCATTTCCTCATTGCCCAGTGCCCACATATCAGCTTCATAAGGCATGGCTTCATAAGGTCTCATAAGGCATGGCTTAATGCATGACAAGTCGGTATTCAAAATTATCACAAGCTAAACCCAGAATCGAAACGCATTATCAATGAAAACCGTGATCAATGTTATTTTTAGTGGAGTTTTGTTGCGATCGACTATGCCCAAGGTGACCATCATTTGCATTACCAGACGAGCAAACTGGCGAGTTCTTAAAAGCTGATTTGCGTGTCCGAAAATGTTCGTTTCTATAGCAGTATATATACGCATTAATTACTCCACTAGTAAAAATCATTGTTGTGCCCCACGGGTATAAATAATTAACATAAATATTGTCCGTTCCTCTTACGATTACATACGCAAAAGCAGCCAGAATTGGTATGGATGTAAGGCATAGCACTCCAATGATGTATAATATTCGGAAAATGGTTTTCTTTTCTTTGGCGGTTAACTTGAACTTTTGCACTGCATTATGGGTTTTCTTTAGCATCTTTTGACATGATGTTTCAGCAGGCACTGTCACTTCTTCATTGTAATTGTTGCTGTTGCAGGCTGTATTTGAGTCCATGCTCATACCTGCTAACATAGAAAAGATCGAGTTGATGAAACACTATGCTTGTTAAGGTTCATGATCTCTTGTTGGTCCAGCGTTAATACTAGAGGAAACCTATACTATACTATATTTATCCTAGAGGTCCAGTGAGAGGAATCCTTTTTTGATCCAGTGTTCTTACAAGAGGAAACTTAAATTATACCAACTTTATTTATACCGGAAAAGGTCTATCGGATAAGACCACAGCTTATTGGTCTAATCTTAATGTACGAGGAAATTGCAGTATCCTGACAATACCAAAGGTATTTGCGACCTAGCTGTGGTGTACATGTATTTTCACATACGAGTGAAATACACTAACACTGTGCCAACATCACCCAATGATTCTATGAATGCGCGATTAATACTTCAAAAGTTACCTGTGTTTAGTCCAGAATTCTTCTTACTTGTCTCTCCATTCTTTTCAACTACAGACAGTCCATGAATGCGATTTACTGTATCTTCTTCGTCCAAACCGCCATTCTGTAATTGAGAATTCCTTGGTTGAGCCTTCTCACCATGAAACTGAGTTATCGATTTTCGACTGATGGAAAATATTTTCACATAAACAGCCACGGTATAGATCAACCCGAACGATAAAATAAATAAATAGACGTACAACATTTGAAACAGCTGTGGTATGATTAGGTGAAAAGTTGTCAATAAGATTGAACATGCTGCAAACAGCGATAAACTCACATAAACCAAGACTTTCTTTCGCATGTAAACGCGATGATAAATCGGGTATAAGATTGCAAAAAATCGTTCTGAAGTTAAAACAATTGTCGCCATTACAAAACTGAATCCCAAAAGTACGCAAACTATTGTTTCGGTAACATTTTGAAGTGTACAATTAAAAATGCCAAAAAATTCCAGGATAAACATGGAAATGAAAAGCGGTTGAGCTACTGCGCTTTGTAGCAAATTCAAAGATGCTAACAGAAAGAGTAAGGTGTTGGAAACAGGCTGCCGGGCCCTTGTTTGGTAGTATTTATAGACAACCAGCCCACTGGCAAACAAGCTTAGTAACATGGTTGCAGTATTCACGCAGCATAATGCGATATCGTTGTAGAATATTGAATGTAAACTGATGTTTTTCTCAGTTTCTGTGGACCAACATAGCATCCCTTCTGACATTGTGTAGAAACTATACGCGAACACCTGCAAAAGTTAATAAGACAAAACAATTAATGCGTCTTAGCCTCTTAGGACTTTTAATAAGATATGGATCAGGCTGTCAAGGCAGATTGCTGTTTATTTAAAGGAACAACACGCGCGCAAATTCGTCTAAGCAGATGAAATGCGCAAATATTTCAGCCGTACGGATCATCCCTTCTCGTTTACAATATCGAAATTTCTTTGATCGAAGTTTGATCAAATTATGCTTTCCCTTTGATCAAAGCGTCTGACAACAAATGTAGACCTTGATTTAGGAGTCTGATTACGAGCCATTTCTGTATTAGTCTCAGTTGTCTAACATTCACTCTCAGCTGTGCAAACGCGGCCAATAAAATACCACAGCCATCTATTTCTTGTTCTGATACATCTCTATATTACGGACATTTTAATTCCTGAATGTATAGTCCCTATACCCTAGTAATAGAGATTTGCATGAATACATGGATACAACAAAGTCACAAAGAAACATGCGTGCATACAGAATAAAAGTTCGAAGCCAAAACAAGAAGGGCGTTCAACTATACTTAGAAAGTTTCGGATTAATAAGGCCAATTACAACTCCCTGAAAAATACAAGGAGAACTTCGACGTTTCGAGCGAAGGCCCTTCGTTGGGAAGTTCCGACCTTCGCAGCTTCGCTCAAAAGACAAAACGTTCTCAACCTCTCTCTGAATAGGACAAGGCCGGCAGGCCAAAGAAACATGAACATGAATTATTCGTTTATAGAGGAGTTGAGAGGTGTCCGTAGGAAGGAGCTGTTCGATAGTTGTCATCCATCTGCTTGGCGTGTATTTCATAAAAATATATTTTCCATGTATATCACTCGTTCATGAAACATATAGCCAATATACAGTGAGGGGGTAAATTAATGACCTGTTTGAAGCGCGTATTACAATAAATTTGACAGTTTTGTTCTACGCTCTATTATAAACATTACATACATACCCTTTTTAAAGAAAAGTTTTACACAAGCCGTCCAAAAACAACTGTAAAAATGTCCAACAAACAAACTTTAAAAACATGACGATGACAAAACCAAAAACCCGAGTCATATCTAATTAGAATGACCCTTTGCCAATTTTGCGGGAAATGTAATTATTGCAAAATAAACAGAAAATTTGGTTGATTACAAATATTAAAATCATACTGAATTTGTGATAATTATTCATCAGATTTTACAACTAAAAATTTGTAACAGTTGTTCGTATTTGGATTGTAAACGTATCATGGCAAGTGTTAAAGCGCGTAAATAAAGTTGTTTGAAAAAGTCTCATCATATCTAAAGCTGAATGTGGAATGCTTAATTAGCTTGATTGGCAATCGCCTTTAATAATCTATCATCCATTGTAATCAAATGTTCAATCACCTCATGCTTGCTTCTCATTTCTTGGCTACACATTCTAGGCTGCAGCTGTTTTAACGTCCTCGTCTCAGAGTGATATTCCCTGTATCCATTATTACAATCTGATCCCAGTCCCCTCTATATAAGTGGTCATTTCCTCATTGCCCAGTGCCCACATATCAGCTTCATAAGGCATGGCTTCATAAGGTCTCATAAGGCATGGCTTAATGCATGACAAGTCGGTATTCAAAATTATCACAAGCTAAACCCAGAATCGAAACGCATTATCAATGAAAACCGTGATCAATGTTATTTTTAGTGGAGTTTTGTTGCGATCGACTATGCCCAAGGTGACCATCATTTGCATTACCAGACGAGCAAACTGGCGAGTTCTTAAAAGCTGATTTGCGTGTCCGAAAATGTTCGTTTCTATAGCAGTATATATACGCATTAATTACTCCACTAGTAAAAATCATTGTTGTGCCCCACGGGTATAAATAATTAACATAAATATTGTCCGTTCCTCTTACGATTACATACGCAAAAGCAGCCAGAATTGGTATGGATGTAAGGCATAGCACTCCAATGATGTATAATATTCGGAAAATGGTTTTCTTTTCTTTGGCGGTTAACTTGAACTTTTGCACTGCATTATGGGTTTTCTTTAGCATCTTTTGACATGATGTTTCAGCAGGCACTGTCACTTCTTCATTGTAATTGTTGCTGTTGCAGGCTGTATTTGAGTCCATGCTCATACCTGCTAACATAGAAAAGATCGAGTTGATGAAACACTATGCTTGTTAAGGTTCATGATCTCTTGTTGGTCCAGCGTTAATACTAGAGGAAACCTATACTATACTATATTTATCCTAGAGGTCCAGTGAGAGGAATCCTTTTTTGATCCAGTGTTCTTACAAGAGGAAACTTAAATTATACCAACTTTATTTATACCGGAAAAGGTCTATCGGATAAGACCACAGCTTATTGGTCTAATCTTAATGTACGAGGAAATTGCAGTATCCTGACAATACCAAAGGTATTTGCGACCTAGCTGTGGTGTACATGTATTTTCACATACGAGTGAAATACACTAACACTGTGCCAACATCACCCAATGATTCTATGAATGCGCGATTAATACTTCAAAAGTTACCTGTGTTTAGTCCAGAATTCTTCTTACTTGTCTCTCCATTCTTTTCAACTACAGACAGTCCATGAATGCGATTTACTGTATCTTCTTCGTCCAAACCGCCATTCTGTAATTGAGAATTCCTTGGTTGAGCCTTCTCACCATGAAACTGAGTTATCGATTTTCGACTGATGGAAAATATTTTCACATAAACAGCCACGGTATAGATCAACCCGAACGATAAAATAAATAAATAGACGTACAACATTTGAAACAGCTGTGGTATGATTAGGTGAAAAGTTGTCAATAAGATTGAACATGCTGCAAACAGCGATAAACTCACATAAACCAAGACTTTCTTTCGCATGTAAACGCGATGATAAATCGGGTATAAGATTGCAAAAAATCGTTCTGAAGTTAAAACAATTGTCGCCATTACAAAACTGAATCCCAAAAGTACGCAAACTATTGTTTCGGTAACATTTTGAAGTGTACAATTAAAAATGCCAAAAAATTCCAGGATAAACATGGAAATGAAAAGCGGTTGAGCTACTGCGCTTTGTAGCAAATTCAAAGATGCTAACAGAAAGAGTAAGGTGTTGGAAACAGGCTGCCGGGCCCTTGTTTGGTAGTATTTATAGACAACCAGCCCACTGGCAAACAAGCTTAGTAACATGGTTGCAGTATTCACGCAGCATAATGCGATATCGTTGTAGAATATTGAATGTAAACTGATGTTTTTCTCAGTTTCTGTGGACCAACATAGCATCCCTTCTGACATTGTGTAGAAACTATACGCGAACACCTGCAAAAGTTAATAAGACAAAACAATTAATGCGTCTTAGCCTCTTAGGACTTTTAATAAGATATGGATCAGGCTGTCAAGGCAGATTGCTGTTTATTTAAAGGAACAACACGCGCGCAAATTCGTCTAAGCAGATGAAATGCGCAAATATTTCAGCCGTACGGATCATCCCTTCTCGTTTACAATATCGAAATTTCTTTGATCGAAGTTTGATCAAATTATGCTTTCCCTTTGATCAAAGCGTCTGACAACAAATGTAGACCTTGATTTAGGAGTCTGATTACGAGCCATTTCTGTATTAGTCTCAGTTGTCTAACATTCACTCTCAGCTGTGCAAACGCGGCCAATAAAATACCACAGCCATCTATTTCTTGTTCTGATACATCTCTATATTACGGACATTTTAATTCCTGAATGTATAGTCCCTATACCCTAGTAATAGAGATTTGCATGAATACATGGATACAACAAAGTCACAAAGAAACATGCGTGCATACAGAATAAAAGTTCGAAGCCAAAACAAGAAGGGCGTTCAACTATACTTAGAAAGTTTCGGATTAATAAGGCCAATTACAACTCCCTGAAAAATACAAGGAGAACTTCGACGTTTCGAGCGAAGGCCCTTCGTTGGGAAGTTCCGACCTTCGCAGCTTCGCTCAAAAGACAAAACGTTCTCAACCTCTCTCTGAATAGGACAAGGCCGGCAGGCCAAAGAAACATGAACATGAATTATTCGTTTATAGAGGAGTTGAGAGGTGTCCGTAGGAAGGAGCTGTTCGATAGTTGTCATCCATCTGCTTGGCGTGTATTTCATAAAAATATATTTTCCATGTATATCACTCGTTCATGAAACATATAGCCAATATACAGTGAGGGGGTAAATTAATGACCTGTTTGAAGCGCGTATTACAATAAATTTGACAGTTTTGTTCTACGCTCTATTATAAACATTACATACATACCCTTTTTAAAGAAAAGTTTTACACAAGCCGTCCAAAAACAACTGTAAAAATGTCCAACAAACAAACTTTAAAAACATGACGATGACAAAACCAAAAACCCGAGTCATATCTAATTAGAATGACCCTTTGCCAATTTTGCGGGAAATGTAATTATTGCAAAATAAACAGAAAATTTGGTTGATTACAAATATTAAAATCATACTGAATTTGTGATAATTATTCATCAGATTTTACAACTAAAAATTTGTAACAGTTGTTCGTATTTGGATTGTAAACGTATCATGGCAAGTGTTAAAGCGCGTAAATAAAGTTGTTTGAAAAAGTCTCATCATATCTAAAGCTGAATGTGGAATGCTTAATTAGCTTGATTGGCAATCGCCTTTAATAATCTATCATCCATTGTAATCAAATGTTCAATCATCTCATTCTTGCTTCTCATTTCTTGGCTACACATTCTACATTCTGTTTTAATGTCCTCGTCTCAGAGTGATATTCCCTGTATCCATTATTACATTCTGATCCCAGTCCTCTCTATATAAGCAGTCTTTTCCTCATTGCCCACATATCAGCTTCATAAGGCATGGCTTCATAAGGTCTCATAAGGCGTGGCTTAATGCATGACAAGTCGGTATTCAAAATTATCACAAGCTAAACCCAGAATCGAAACGCATTATAGATGAAACCGCGATCAATGTTATTTTTTAGTGGAGTTTTGTTGAGATCGACTCTGTCCAGCGTGACTATCGTTTGCATTACCAGACGAGCAAACTGGCGAGTTCTTAAAAGAGCAATTGATAAAACTAGAATAGTGAAGCGAATAGTGCGAATAGTGCGAATAGTCGACGAATAGTACGAATAGTCGACGAATAGTGCGAATAGTCCGCGAATGGTCGACGAATAGTACGAATAGTCCGAGAATAGTCGACGAATAGTACGAATAGTCGACGAATAGTAGGAATAGTCCGCGAATAGTGCAATAGAGAGTTTGCAAGGCTTCGCACCGTGCTGTAGAACTAAATTTACCACTGAGTTTTAACAAATATTTAACAGGAAGTAGAATGACAATCACTAGAATGACGTTTTCCACTGGGCGAATTTGTTCGCGCGAAGCGACAAGTAAAAGAGTAGGAACTGTTCCACAGGGCCGTGCCAACCGGTTTCTGGTTGCAAGGGGGGTGTATTCCAAAATTTGGGCCCCCTTCCATTCCAGCCGCCCCCCCAAACTTTTTCCGGAAAGCAAAAATTTTTCCGGAGAATGTT